TTACCCGGACTAGGAGGGAAGCAGCCCCCATTTTAAGTAGGGAAAGTGAGAAGAGTGGATTAAAATTCCGAGGTGCTGCTGTGCAATCACATTTACAGGCACACTGCTCCGGAGGAGAGGGGCACCAAGGATAGCCCTCTGCAGAGATCGCCGGGGAAGGTCGAGCATGGCAGGGGCAGGCAACTGGCACCGCAGACTCGAATCGTTGGGGTGTCGTCAGAGCCAGAGCAGGATGCACGCTCGGCTCTGAGAGCCCGAGGGCCAGGAGGGGGAGCCGCCTGGGGACCGGCTCCTAGAGGCCACCACTGGACACTCACAGCCATGAGGCAAGGCAAGGGCAGAGCTGCTTCTCAGAACTGGACATATTTGTTTCCGGAGGAAACAGAGCAAGGCTGCCTTTGGGTGTCAGGGATGCGGGAGGGAACCCAATGCATGGACGCAGGGCTAGAGCGAAGGCAGGGCTGGACAGAGGGCGGGAGGGGTAGGACGCGTCCATCCCGGCGCCTGTTCTTGACGTTCAACCCAAATTCCGTTACGAGGAAGCAGGAAACCTGCAAGGAGTAGGGGAAGAAGCCTACTGTAAACCCTGTTCACACGTCACCTCTGATGTAGCCGTTCACCTTCCCGAGGAGCACGAGGTAGCTGGCAAGTCCCACGCTAGTCGCCTCTGTCCGTCAGAGCAGCATTGTGGGTGTCACACGCTGAACCAGGTGGCAAGGACTTCTGCTTTCAAGAAGCCCATGTTTCAAGAGTAATTATGTCAGTGGAAATTTTCTGACTGACGAACTTATAACACTATCACTATAAAAATGTATCATTACTCATCCAGTATTAAGTACTCATTGAGTAGCTACTATGTTTCTGGTACAATGTTTGGAGTGGAGGATACAAAATGAGTTAAAGCAAAATCCTGATTCTTAAGGAGCTTCCTAAGCCATGGCAGGGATGTGCATATTTATTCACCCGCACAGCAATAATTTACTGAGGGCCTTCAACATGCTGCACCTTGGGGTGTGCAGGTTAGGTGGGCAGTAACTGGGTGCTTTTCTTTCCTGATGTTTGGGAGGTGATACAGCAGTACGCACAGCTCCTAACCAGACAGCTCTGCTGCCTCTGTTTTTTGGTGGCATTGGAGCAGTTTATTTAAGCTGTCTATTCTCAGTTTCCTCCCTTGTAAAATGAATAGCACTTCATTTCTGAGTTGTTTTGAGAATAAAATGTGATTATATATATAAAGGTAATGAGTCTGATAAGTAACTGTTAGCCATGATTTCTACGAAGTGAAGCTGGGGGAACGCTGAAGCAGAAGTCGGGATGTCTAGCAGCATTGGGAATGGTGTCTGAGATGCCTGGGAACCTGGGTCTTTGCTGAGAAGCAGGAGCCAGCTATTCACTCAGTAAGCATTTGTTGAGCGTGATAGAGCTACAAGTGCAGGTACTACCGTGACAAAAGACCTGCTGCATAAGCCCTGCCCAGCTCTCAAATTGCTCAGGGCTGGGGCAGGGGGGTGGGGGCAGCGGCAGAGATGTAAACCTGCCATTAGGACCCAGTGTGACAAATGGCATGTTAGCGATAGGGTGTTTGGGATAACATAGGTGGGGTGAGTGTTGGTGGCAGGAGTGAGCTAGTAAGAAATGACTTCTGGAGAAATGACGTTTGAACTGTATCTTGAAAAAAATAAAGAACTAGTCAGGTGGAGCAAGGCCTTTCCAGAAGGTGGAAGGGCATTCAAAAGGCAGAGCAAGAGCACATGGAGCTTTAGGGACTTCAGACTCCAGGTGTACATGGGGCATGAGTTTGATGGGGGCGGGGAAGTAGCAGGGGCCACCTCACCGGGCATCTTGGATGTCATACTAAGAAAGTCAAGCGTCTTCTGAGGGGTGCGCGTCGCTGAGGGTGCGATTTTAGGAAATTCACCCTGGACGCGGTACGAAGCGTGTATTGGAGAGCGAGCGAGGCAGGAGGTTATTGCTGTAAACCTGTGAATACAGGCGAAGAGTCTAAAAGTAAGGTGTCGGTGGAGGACACAGAGGAGGGGACACGACAGTTGAATCTAAGAGCTAATCTAAAAGCAGTTAAACTAAGAGATTTTGAAAGTCTCATGGGCTGATTTAAGGAGCAACTCCATGCGACGAGGAAGTGGGAGGAAACCTGCCGCCTCCCATGTTTTTTGACTTGGGCAACCAAGCGAATGAGGAACGGTCTCCTAAACAGGCGATACCCGGGAAGAAGTCCGTGATGGGGAGTGATGGCCACAGGGGAGCAGGGATCGGGAGGTGCAATTTGCCCCACGTGATGTTCAGATGGAGGCCTCTGGTGGGAGAGAGAAATCTGGGCTAGAGATGCAGATTTGTGTCATCGTTCGTATGTAAGTGGTGGCTGAATGGATAGTTTTAATCAAGTTACTTAGGGAAAATGTATAGAGTGACAGAACAGAGTCCTGAAGAGATAACTCTAGAAACAGCCACAAAAACAGGGCAGGAAGAGGAAGTGGGGTCTTCCTCCAAAGAGATGAGAGCAGACAGCTGGGGAAGTAGGAAAAAGAAAAATCAGGAGGAAACTATTGACAGAGACCCGAGGAAGACAGTGTTTGAAGCAGAAATCCTCAACAGAGTCAGGTTAGGCAAGGATGAAGAAGCGCAGTTTTGCAGTTAGGAGACCAGCGCTGCCTCGGCGGGCCAGGAAAGAGGCCGGCACAGGAAGTACCCAGGCAGAGGGCGTAACCGCTGGGTCACGGGGCGGCTGGCGTCCACCACGTCCCTAGGAGCCTTCTTCAGCGCCTGCGCTACAGGATGGCTTCAGTCTGTAGGTAACAGGGCACACCTACAGGGAACAACTTGGTATTATTTTCTTAACAAGTGATGTTTTCAAATGGAAGCAAAGCTCACATGCAGCATAATGCATAGATCTTAAGCATCCCGTTAAGGAGTTTTGGCAAATGTGAAACCTGTGAAGCCATCACCCTAATCAAGATAAAATATTTCACCCTGGCCAGGTGGTAGAGTTGGTTGGAGTGCTGTGTTGTACATCAAAATGTTGCAGGTTCGATTCCGGTCAGGGCACATACCTAGGTTGTGGGTTCAATCCCCCCACCAGGGCATGTACAGGAGGCAACTGATCAATGTTTGTCTCTCATTGATGTGTCTCTCTCTCTAAAAATCAATACACATATGCTCTGGTAAGGATTAAAAAAAAAGTCATTTCCATCACCTTGGAAAGTTCCCTGTGCCCTGTTTTAGTCAATCTGTGCTGTGTGTAGTAGACAACTGCTCCTCTAATTTTTATCCAATGGGCGGCTTATTGTTTAATGTCATGTGAATGGAACCATGCAATATGTAAACTTGGCATCCCTGGCTTTTTTGTTCAACACAATGTTTCTGACATTTATGCATGTTGCATAGGTTAGTGATTCATTATCTCTTATTGCTGAATAGCAATATTATGTGACTAGATCACAATTTGTTTATCCATTCATAACTGATGGACATTAGGTTGTTACAAGCTCTTGGTTATAATGAGTAATGCTGCCAAAAACATTCTTGTGCAAGCATTTTTGTTAGCATATATTTTTATTTACTTCAGGCAAACACCCAGGGGTGGAAATGCTGACTCATAAAGTAGGTATATTTTAACTGTTTTAGAAACAACTTTGCAAAGTGATTGGGTCATTTACACACCCACCAGTCCTGTGGGTGTTAACGGTCTCCGCATCCTCGGTCCTTGTCAGGTGGTGCTTTCAATCTTTTAAATTTTAGCCATTCTAATGGGTGTGAAGCGGCATCTCACTGAAGATTCAATCTGCCCATCTCTAATGACGAATGGTATTGAACATGTTTTCAGGTGCTACATTTGCATGTCTTTATTTGTTAAGCGCTCAGGACTGTTGCCCACTTGTGTTGATAGATACAGGAAGAACCTACTGTTGAGGGAAACCGATATTTATAGCACATTATATCCTGAAAGCAATTGATGTTTGCTGACACATTCTAAATGGAATAGAACAATAGAACCATTTATACCAATCAATGGAAGAGTGAATGACTGAAATGTTGGGGGTGGAGGTGGGGCGGGAAGCCTTGCATATGTCATGTCAGTTAAGTTTCCACTTAAATCACATATAAATTCAAAATATAAAAATTAAATGATTTTAAATAACTCTAAATTTAAAAACTTTAAATCACGCCTCACCCCTTGTGCTGTGTCCATGGCAAGCCCTCTAGGGCGGAGTGTGTTTTCTCCAGGAAGGAAGGGGGTCTTCGCGATGAGACGCGGGGAAGACCCAGCCCACGGGCACGGTTTGCCTGGGACCGGGCCAGGAACCCAACCGGTGCCGTGCCTGCTAACACAGTTTCCTGCTCCTGTATTGAGCAATGGATGCTGCGAGATACACAGAAAATACTGACACGTGGACTGCATCTTAGACCGCCTGCGGGAGCGCAGCACTGTGTGGGCAGGTCTGCACGCCAGGGTCGCGTGGGCATTTGACTTCAAGCGTGGGCGTGGGCCTCGTTTTCAGCCCTATTCCTGGCACGGAGCTATAGTGCTTTTCCAAGCCTCTAAGTCATTTTTGTGTTTTTGTCATTTATTTGTATGCAGATGTCAGCAACCCATTTCAGACAGACCCCACCGTGTCCGTTTCCTTGCGGGCGGCCGCAGCCCGCAACTTCTTGAGGATAAACTTCAAGCGATGGTGATGGACAACTTCCCTGTGCGGCAGTGCCTCCCAGGCACACCTGACTGTGGAGGGCCCTCGGGCAGGCCGGTCTCGGGTTAGGAATCGAAGGGGCTGGCGTAGATACGACACGGACGTTTTATTAAAAACCTAGTCAACCAGGGGGAGAGGACCGAGGCTCCTGGCACGGCTGGTGGACCGAGTCCGCGCCGCGCAGAGCTTGACCGGGGCTGGGCTGCCGCCGGGTCCCTGCGGGCGCGCCCCTGGGCCAGCCGCGCACGCGCACTTCCTCGCTTGGGCCAGCCGCGCACGCGCGACCTCCTTTGGGCGCCAGGTGTCGGCGGCGCGCGCGGCAAATGGAGTGGGTGCTTGCGGAAGCGTTGCTCGCGCAGAGCCGGGACCCCCGGGTCCTGCTCGGGACGCTGTGCCGCGGGGAGGCGTCCGCGGAGCGCGTAGAGACGCTGCGCTTTCTCCTGCAGCGGCTCGAGGACGAGACGGCGCGCGGCGGCGGGGACGCGCTCCCAGACGCGGTGCGCGAGGTCGCCGCCGGGTACCTGGTGCCGCTAATGCGGGGCCTGCGCGCGCGCCCCGCGGGAGCCGCGGACTCCGACCCGCCGGCCGCGCACCGCCGGCGCCTGCTGAGGGCGGCGGGCGCGGCCCTCCGCTCGTGCGCGCGCCTCGCGGGGGGCCCGCAGCTGGCGACCACGCTGGCCGAGGAGGCGCTGCGTGACTTGCCGGCCGCGAGGCCGGCCCCCGGCCTCGAGGGGAGCGCCGAGGCGGCCGTGGAGGTGCTGGCGGCCGTGGGGCCCTGCCTGCGGCCCCGGGAGGACGGACAGCTGCTGGAGCGCGTGGCGCAGGCCGCGCTCTCTCTGGCCCTGGCCGGGGACGGGGAGGCGGCGGCGCTGGCGGCCGGGAGGCTGCTGCCGGCTCTGGGCCAGAGCGGCGGGGCGGTGCTGCGGACCGTGTGGGGCGGGCTGCTGGCGCCCTCGGAGCCGGGCCGCGTGGGTCCGAGGCTGCAGGTGCTGAGCGCCCTGGCCGAGCGGCTGCTGCCCGAGCCCGGCGAGCGCCCGGCAGGCCCCGACGCGCGACGCTGCGCGCCGTTCTGGCGGACGGTGCAGGCGGGGCTGGCGCTGGCCGAGGACGCGCTGACGCGCAAGCGCGCGCGCTACCTGCTGCAGCGGGCGGTGGAGGTGTCGGCTGAGCCAGGCGCCGATGGCATCTGCGGACCCCGGGAAGGAAACGGTACTCGCCTTTCTGACCTCCAGCCCAACCCTGCCTGGCTTTCTGGGACGGAGGCCTCCGGGGTCCGAATACCAGCCCCTCGAGGTCGTCTCTTCCATCCAGAGCGAATTCGGTTATTCCCGTGGTCGCCATAGCGCCCGAAAACCTGGGGACCCTCATCTAGAGGGCGTTTTATGACGTGACACAAGGCCCTGCAGCCCAGAACGGTGCATTTCCCAGCCCCGACCCCGAGCAGGTGGACTGCTGCGTCCGTGGCGTAATTTGGAATCGGACCCGCGCAGGATTTCACAAAACCAAATGTGCACTCTATCCTGGAGGGCCCATTCTGTAGAAATGAAGGGTTAGCGGCCATCAGACTGAAAGGAAGATTATGTACCTGTACTGACATGCGAACTGTCTTGAGTGTTAGGATTCTGCCGTAGAAACTCACTTTTTTTTTCTTTTTTTTTGAAATTTCACTTGGTAATTTAGGAGCAGGATTTACTAATATTTGTTAAACGTATGGTCCTTAAGTCGATCTATTGAGGGTATTTTTGCCATTGATTCGATAGAATGAGTCCGATTTTAAATTTTAGCATTTTGAGCGGTGCTTCCTATTACTCTATTACGGAACAAGAGCAGATGAAACAACAAGGCCTCCCTTCAGTTTGGCATGCTGCTCTTGATTGGTTTGCTCACTGAAACGTGTGAAAATATACTTCCATGAGCTTAAGGCCTGTTTTGAGCTGTCAAAGTCCAAGACAGATTGCTTCAAAAGCTGTCTCAGTAGCCAGTTCCTCCTGTTTCAGCTGAAAGCCGTCCTGCAGCGTTGGAATCGGCAGCGGCCTCTGCAGCTGCGTTGCTCTCCACTTCCGGGCACTGACACCTTTACTCTTCAGCCAGTTATTTTGGGGGTTACCCCCATGTCTTGAAATAACCTAGTTATATCGTAAAATCCATTGCCATAGTTAATAATTTCCATTCATGGGAGGTCAGCATTTACAACACCGATTGTGAAAATACTGTTCGCCGGTGATCGATCTATGGAATATGCACTATGGTGCTGTCCTACCTGCAAGACTTTCCTAGAATTGTGTCATTTCAAAATTTGTTCTCTCCTTATTTCTTACCAGCTGTTCGGCCCCAGATTCCTTGCTAGTTCCCTAAGTCTTTCCTGTACGAATTCAGATCATCAGGCATAGGATCAAGTTCCCCGCACCACCCCCAGAGCCCCCTTCCTGGGCCAGCCTGGGGCACCGCTGGCTGACGTCTGCCTTCGCCTTCGCCCTCGGCCAGGGGTCGTTCCCGTCACCTGAGTCCGGGGTTGGGGTTGGCGGCATCCTGGAGCCCTCGCTTCCCTCTTTTTCCGATTTACTCACTTGTTGCCGCGCATTCTCTCTGCGAGCCCGCCCGCTCCGGTCCACAGCCCTTCCCCCGGGCACCGGGGGAGGCCTGAGGGAAGAGCTGGTGAGTGGTCTGGACCCCCCCCCCCCCCCCCAGCATTCGCAGGTTTCTAACCATCAAGCTAGCCTACCCCTGGCCTTTAGGAACTCATCAAATGTTCGTGTTTTTGTTTTTTTTTTTAACTGCCCTTTTGGTGGCCGCCTTTTCCTCTTGGGCTCAGCTAACGGTGGAACAGTTTACGTGTCCTGCCTGCTTTCCGAGAAGCCTTCTGCCCTTCAGAATAGCATCGTGATGAGGGCGCTCAGAAGTGTAGGATGTCGCGGATTCTCCGGCTTCATGTCTTTGTCAGGATGGTAGTGACGTTCTCTTGTTGGGGTTTTCTGCATCCGTGGTGGGAGCTGACACCGTGCGGTCCAGGTGCCTCTGTTTTGACCGCACATTTGATGGCTGGTGTGGTTGCGGGGAGGATTCTAGCTTAGAAAACATTTTCACCCGAAATGTTAAAGGCGCTGATCTGTTGTCTCAAAAGGGAGAACATTCATCGTTGCTGTTGCAAAGTCTGAAACCAGCCTGAATGGTGTTCACTGGCGGGGTCTGCTTCTCCTCCGTGGCGGCTGGAGGGTCTGCATTCCTGGTGTGCCCCGAGGTCCTGGCACCCTGTGCGGGGCGCTTGCTGGGCCTCTTCTACTCGGAAATTGTGGCCTTCGCTTTTGGGAGCTTTTTTCTTGAACTCCCTGGATTTTCCTTCCTTTTTACTTTGTGCTATAAGGATTTTGAATCTGCTGGATAGGTCATCAAAGGAGCTTTTCTCTCTTATTTTCTGTAATTTTGTTTGTTTGCTCTACGTCCTGGGGGATTTTCTGAACTTCATTTCCAATTCTTTCTCTGAGTTTCTTGTTTTTGCTATCAGAGTTTTACTTGTCATGAGTTCCTTTTTGTTCTTGGAATGTCCTTTTTAATAATGTCCTGTTCTTACAACATCACTGCGCTATCCTCTCTTACCTCCCTTGAAGATGTTGGTGAAAGCATTTTTTTTTTTAAGGTTTTCTTTTTCCTGCATAGCTTTGTTTTCTCCCAATTTCCTTTTGTTTGTTTGGTTTGGTCTTGATCTTTCACATCAAGGTTTCTCTAGACGGCCTGGTGAGCCTTTGACACCTGATTGTATGTAAGAATCAGGAACCCAAAATCTGACGGCTTGAAGCTCAGGAGTGGTGCCTGTGGACTGTAAACATTGCTGTCAGGCGCTCTCTGATGCACGTGTCTCCAGGCCTTCCTTCCTGGGCTGCCAGGGTCCCCAGAGGCCTCCGGTCCCCGGCTGGGCAGTGCAGGCCTCGTCCGCGGCCTGGGACCTGCGCGGCTGCCGTGGTGATGGGGTGCGGAGAGGGGTCTCGTTTTATGGGGCGCTCTCCCGCACCCCAGCTGTGTCCAGCACATCGCAGTTCAGAGGCTGCTGTTTTACCTTCTCCAGAGACTAGATTCCAGTCTCTTTCCTGTTTGGGATAAAAGCCTCAGGAAAGGCACCTGGGACCTGACTGTTTCTTAGATGCACCGCAAAAGTCCTCTTCAGCTCAGCTTTGCTTTCAGCTCCACTTACAGAAGTAACCGTTGTGCCAATTCCTTAGGTTGGGGGCGATTTTGTAAATCAACATTTTCTTGGCTTTCCTTGTGCCAACTTAATACTTGCTTTCTTGAGTCTGCTTGGTTTTCTCTGTTCTACTGGGTTTTTGCCTTTGAAAAGTCCTTTATTGATACAGCGAGGTTCTTAGGGAGAGGAAGTAGCATTTCTGTTCAGGTGTGTTATCCTTGCCCAGAGCGCTAAAACACTAAGACGTGTGTATACATAAACCTTCTTCTGAGATTCTTGTTTCCCCGGGCCTCCTGTCTAGGCTTCAATAGGGGCCCCTCCTAGGGAGTGGGGCAGCTTTCGGTAACAGTGGCATAACTTTAAGAAGTACTATTGTTAAGAAACTTTGCCAACCAGTTTTCTTTCTAAAATTATAACAGGTCCAAGTCTGTTTTGGTGGTCTGAGAAGAAAAGAGATGAACTTCTGAAGTTTTGGGAAAACTATATTTTAATTATGGAAACTCTAGAAGGGAACCAGGTAAGCGTTTTTGTATTTTACCAAGTCCCACATGGATCCAGCGCTTATTTTTTTAGACCTTCTGTAAAAGCAATGCAAAAAGACCAACTTGGCTAGAGCCTAAAAGAACACAGGTGTACTTTGTTTTCTGGGATAAGTGCAAATTTAAAATTGAAGGTAAACCCAGGAAGTCAAAGAACACTTTTAATTAAGTTATCATTCAGAGAGTTTAGTCTTATTTGATCTTCTCTGGAGTTTACACCTGAAGGGTTAGTTTCTCCACCTTATCAATAACCTCCAAAGAAATACACACTTAGGAAAATGTTACTTAAAGCAATGCTGCAGTGAATTGTTATTAAGTAAGTATTTGCCCTTTAATTTTGTAGCTTTGCTTTTCTCTTTTACTCTTACACCGGTGGTCCTAAGAATGGCAACTTCAACAGTCCTTTCCAGCTGACTTTTTTGAATGAGTTTTTGTACAATCATAGAGTTTTTCAGTTGAGAGGAACCTCCTGCGGGACTTAATCTATTGCAGTGATTCTCAGACTTGAACATTCATTCAAATCACCCAGGTGGCTTGCTAAAGTATAAAGGCCTGGGTCCTGTCCCCAGAGTTTCTGATTCAGTGGGTCTGAGGGGGCGCCCGCACATTGGAGTGGTTTATACTTTCCCAGGAGACACCTGTGCTGCCGCTCTGGGGACCGTGCGTGGGAACCCTGGTCCCGGGCTTCCCAGCCTGTAAGCTGCAGACCACCCGGGGCCAGCCAGCTGTGCGCTCACTGAGGCGTCTGCTCGAATGCGCAGCAAGCGTTGCTTGTGGGCTGAAATGGTTACTCATGTATGTTTATACATACATATGTGTATATATATTTGCAAAGATGAGGAATAAAGAAAAAAGCATTTCTAAATAAGAGCCCCCACTGCTCATTTAGAAACTCTGATTTACCTACATTTGGAAGGATATATAAATTAGACTTGTACCTGCAACATAGTCTAAGTATGAAGAACATTGAACTCTGAACTGGCTCTACTTCTAAATGTGTGGCTTTGAGCAACTTGAGTCACAAGATAATGTATTTCGGTATCCTCTCCGCTTTGTAATATGCTAGTGTTATCAGCCCTGTTTCCCAGGGCGGTTGAGGATTTCATGACAAGGAGTATGATAGTCACTGTATAAATGTAATATCACTGTCACTATTTTCCAGGTTATAATCATTAGCTTTTTTACACTCTTAGGTACTTGAATTTATGTTACTTAAAACTGGGAAGAATCAGGCACCTTCTGCTTATTTTTACATGAGGGTGGGAAACAAAACCTACTGTTATGTAAACAGATGAAAATTCCCTTAAGTTTTTAAAGGTGAACTTTCATTTCATATGTCATTTTGCTTTTGTTTTCAGATACATGTTATAAAGCCAGTTTTACCAAAGCTAAACAATCTGTTTGAATATTCAGTGTCAGAGGAAAACGGTAATGGTTACTTTTAGTTTGTTTCTTTAATAACATTTGTATTTCTTCCCCTCTGATTTTATTACTAACTCTTATTATAGTGGATTGGGAGAAATCATAAGTGTAAAGAAATAAGATCTGCTGTTAACTTTCCAGATCCATCCCTTCTGCACTGACGGTTTACAGTGCTTTTTCCTCACTTAGCAGCACATCCAAATGCATGCACGCGTCTCCCATAGGTAGTCTCGAGAACGTAATTTTAAAGGGCAGCGGAGTTTTCTCTCATTTAGAAGTATAGGCAATTTTCTAAACTTTTGATTATGGGACATTTCAAACGTTTACAGGAGGAGGCGAGCCCCCCCGCCCAGTCCCAGCCGCGCCCAGCTGGGGCCAGCCTTTGGCTTCTGCCACAGGCAGCCAGCCTCTCTTGCCCCCCCCCCCCGCCCCCCGCCCCCCACGCATCCAGAGGCGCATCCCTAGACAGCATATCACTTACTCTGGGGTTATTTCAGCATATACTCTTGAAAGATAAGGGCTCTTTGGCAACGTTTTAATGATGGTGTGTTCTACATTTTTAATAGTAGCCCTTTGATACTATGTATTTTAACTGCTTTCCATTCTTATTCTCTGAATAGATCTGTTTCGTTGTTTGTTAGAGTTACTTTTTTGTGGTTTCAGTTCTGCATCTTGGACTTATTCTGAAGAGGAAATTCCAATATATAGTTTTAAATATGGTTTTAAGCCCTTAATCAGTATTGTACTATGGGAGCTTTCTAGGAGAAATAAAACAAAGCTGGAGCCTCCTAAAGTTATTTTATGGAATTAAGTTTAAATTAACAAAACAGCTAAATGCCAGCTAGCAGTGTTTATATTTGTATGAATGATAAAATCCTATGTTATTGTGTTTACACAAGAATTAACCCATGTAAAGGGTTTTAGCACCTACTCCAGAAAATTACAACGGTAATAGTTTAACCCCTTAGGAATTGAGCTTTATTCAGATGATTGCCTGGTTGTTTTGAGGATTTCTCACAGACCGTAAGAATCTATTGTCGCACCCGGGGCTAGAATTTAATTGAATCCTGTTGCGAGTTCACTTAGGGATTTGCTATTAAAATGGTTCTCTTATTACGACATTTTGCCCATAGCTCTTGGCAAACAAAATCAAATCGCAGTGACAGGTTTTGAAAAATTACCACTGTCAAAGCACTGAACGAGAATCTTGGTGTGAAGTACAAATAACGGAGCCATTTATTTATGGAATACTATGAATTTAAAATGCTGAATTTTTTTAAATAAAATTAAAAGATATGTCTAAAGAGTTAAAAATATCTCTAAGTTACATATTTATCCCATTTCCCCCCACTCAATTAGATACTTAATAGATACTTAGTATCCAGTTTATGCTAAGCACTGGGCTCAAGCGGTGAGTCAGATGTACTATTTTTCACTTGATTTTTGTGTTTTCCATGAAGCAATAATTCTGATGGTAAGTTTTATGCGAGCAACAGACAGGGGCCACGGTGGGGTGGACAGTGAGGGGCCTTGCCTTGGGGAGGCGGGTGGCACGAAACACAGGGTGCGGGGCACAGCCCTGTGTGCAGAAGCCCCGCGCCGGGCAGCTCAGCGAGGGGCAGGCGGGGGGCCAGCGGGCGCAGTGTGGAGGGTGTTGGGGGCGGAGGTAGGCGCAGTGGTCCTGCTCCGTAACCCGTTCAGGCTTTATCCTGAGAGCCGGGAGGAGCCACGCAGGGTTGCCAGCAGAGGAGGGAGTGACGGCTTCCGATTTCTAAATGAAACGTGGATTGAATCAGGCGGCGGGGGGGGGGGGAGAATTGGCTGGAATCGCCCCACATCTGAAGTTCTCACCTTCCTGCAGGGGTTCCATTTAATTTTTGTGTGCCGTGGCAGCTGCGACGTTTGCTTGTCGTCTTTCTGAATGGAACTGCCCGAAGGTGGAATACTGACCACTACGTCATCTCGGCTATTCAGTTATTAAACACCCTTGGATAGGATTAAACACAAACTCACTTTGTAGTGGGCGGTGAAGTTAATGTGCCGTGTATGTGTGTGTGCTTATGAATATACAGTCCACCCGGAGCAACAGAATGCGGCGGTCCAGTGTCAGCCTGAGACGTTCCGCGCGGGACGGTGGCTCCTTCACCCCTCCTGGCACTTGTGTATTTACAAAAGGATGTTCGAAAGTGAGAACAAAATCCTGACCAAGGAAGGCGTTGTCCACTTTTTGGAGCTCTACGAAATGAAGGTGCTTCCATTTTCACAAGAATTTTCTGAGGTAACAACAGCCCTTCCTTCCGGTCTTCCCCATGTCCAGAGATGAGGGGTGAAGGCATCCACGGCATTTATGCGCTTGTCGAACAATACACCAGGCCTCTGTAGCAGCAAAGAACATTTTGTAGATCTGCGTTCACCAAGTCCTCGCTCTCTGAGCTTTGCTGTCCTTTTGGGAAAGGCCTACTGCAGCGTAGTTTTCAGCAGGCTGCCAGCATCATTTCCACTGTGAAAATGGTTCTTTGGTAGCAGGATTATAAACACCGTAAGTCCGAGGATGCACGCTGGTGTAGGAGAAGCTCGTTAGTGATCTGTTTCCCCAGTTTCGGTCAATGAATTAACATTACCTGCTACAGGAAGCAGAAATTGCCTTTTGAGCTATTTTTATCCTACGTGTAAAATAATGATGTTGTGTATTTACTAGCATCTCTACGTCCACTTGTCAGAAATCACAGAGCAAAGAGACTGTGAGAATCCCAGCTGCGATTTTAAGGCTTTTAGTATGTGCCTTAGGAGTCACGTGACCACCTGCTTGGGTGTAGCGATTTGCCCGTTGAGAGTAAGCTGAGTAAACTTCCCCAGTTGTCTGACAACATGCTATCCTGGCTTTATTGAGAGTATAAGGAGAACAGTGTATTAGTTACTACCACTGCCTCTCAGATCCTGAGCGCTCACCTGGCGTACAGTAGCCTGCGTCGGTCGGGGCCAGTGCCATTTTCCTTGTCCCTTCCCGGTCCTCCCGTGCGTGCTTGGCCTTAGCTGCGCATCGTTTCCCTGCTTCCCTTGCGCCCTGTGAGCTTGCTGCTTTGACCGATGTCTGGAATATTTTTGAAGATGTAACCCTCCTCCGCCACTGTCTGCCAGGCAGAGGGGCTTACATTTTCTCTTGGGTATCTTTTCGATTTTTCTTTGTTACTACCTTTATTTCCACCAAGTGTTTCTTCTTTGGGTTCCCTTCTTCCTTCCTGACCCAACGTGAACTCTATTTTATACATGTTTACCAGGTAAGAGTATTCCGTGCTTATTTGGTGATTCTGGTGGAACTAAGGGACCCTCCCCCACTGTCTGGCGTAACGTAGCCCGTGGTGTTAAGAGGCCGGCTCTGCTTGTCACAGCCGGTCTGCTGCCCTGTTGTAGGACGTGCAGTTGGCCGTAGGCAAGCAGGCTTCAAAATTACAGTCACAACTCAACTCCAAATACTTTTTCTTTTTTTTTTTAGTTTATTATTGGACCGTTAATGGATGCACTTTCAGAGAGCTCTCTATATAGCAGGTAAACAAATATGTTTCTTGGCAGCAATGCTGTAATATTTATTTGATATATATATTTAACATGTTTATAAAAATGACCAGATTGCTTGATGCATTTGGTCATAATATATGTTACCTAATAGACATTCACCTTTTTCTTATCATGTCTCCTCTTCTGTTTGCTATTCTTCCTGCCTTTCTGCTGTTGTATCGAGTGTTTCTTCTTTTCTCTCGTTTCCTTTCCTACCTGAGCCCTTCCGCCTTCCGTTCCTGGGCTTTGGGGCGGACGTCTTACCTCCCTTCCTTTCTCCCCCTGCTCCCTGCCCTCTTGGGAATGGTAGTGACCTGAGCTAACCAACACTGTTAATGTTTTATTGTGACTTACAGAAAAGTTCTGAGAATGACACAAAGAATTCCCGCTTAACCTTTCATCCATATTCCCCACCTGTTAACGTTTTACCGCGTTGGCCTAATGGGCGCCTCTCGCTGTGCGTGGGCATCTGTTTCTGAGCTCTGTCTGCTGAGCAGGCTTGGTCTGCGTCTGTCTCAGCGTCTGTCTGTCCCTTCACCGCCCGTATTGAAAACTGTGCGTTCACACCGATGCACCCAGTTCCAGCCAGCACCGCGGGTTCCTTCTGACGCCCCCTTCCCACACCTGCCGGTGGCAGCCATCTTCCCGGGCGCATTAAGCCTTTGCCACCTTTAGCCTTCGAAAAGGTTGACGGTGTGAAGAGTCTGCCAGTGTTGTGCCTTCTCATTTTTTGACGTTGTTTCTCCTCTTGAGCGATCCCTGTAAAAATTTCCTTTGCTTTTGAAATTGTCATCTTTCTAATTTTGACTCTGTTTATACTTGCGAGTCTTCTGTTTGGCACACATCTAAACAGGAAAAAACCTCCCACTGCCTGTTTCCTTAAAAAGTATAAAACAGTCTGTGCTACCTTATATTAGTATTTAGTCCCATTTGATAAATATTGAAGGAGCATAGCAATGCTGGACTTGCCAACTATTTTTCGTTTTTAAATAGCTCATTACTGTCGGACAGTTTTCTGAAGCACTGAGACAGTGGGAGAGCAGCGAAACCAGCTTGGTGCTCTCAAAGGGCGTGCCAGGCGCCTCTGTCGTGCCAGGCGCCTCTGTCGTGCCTTCTGTTTGCTAGCACTCGGACCTGTTCGGTTAATAGATAATGTTTCTGGAAGAACCATAAAGGAGGAAAAAGAGAAGTGACTTTAGTAGATGTTAACAATTACATGCTCTTGCAAAAGTAACTAATTAGTAATATGTCTTTCTGGGAATGTTATTTCTTTTTATTTAATATCTAGAGGTTAAAGAGCATTGGATTATATATTGGAGGTAATAAAATAGTTTTAAATGATCATTTTTAGGCTTTTAAAAAAATGATACTACTTAGCACGATTCGCGGGTCTGTGTTGGGGAAAGTGTTAGGAAAAGGAACCCCATCCCGCTCAGTCTGGCGTGTTACGGGCGCATATCCATTTCCCTGGAAGATCCTGCTGTGTTTGTGGTCAGAAGGTTCCTCGATATTTTACTAATATTTGAGAAATCAAAAGGTTCATAAATAGAGCATAGTCTTATTGTTTTAATGCTAAGAGAATTTGGGGCTACAGTCCATTTAGTTTCCGTATGCTTATTTGTGAAGAGATTTTAAATACGTGTCTTTTTCCTTTGTCCCTAGGTCCCCAGGCCAGCCGATAGGAAGTGGCTCTCCACTGGGATTGAAATTACAGAAGTTTCTAGTCACTTACATTTCTCTTCTTCCAGAAGAACTAAAGAGTATGTGCAGTTGAAGACTTTAAAAAAAATTGAGTAGCGTTAAAAATGTATTTTAGTATGTTGGCTATAAGCACCATCCTTTGACTATTATACTCAGTATTATCAAACTAGTTTCCTTTTGCCAGGCGGTGCACACTGTCAGACTCACACAGGTGTGCTCTGTAACGGAGCACACGTTCGTACGTGACTTATTACCAGAGTTGGCGAGAGTGCATGGGAGTAATTTTAGAACGTGTGCTGTAGTGCGCCATCTTTTCTAACTATTTCTCTTGAACTCCAAAAATCAGTAAACTAGGCTAAGGAAGAAAGAACCTGGGTTTAGGAAAAAGTTGTAAACAGGCTATGCATTGTGGTGAAGCTGACCCTTTATAGATCCTGACTTAGGAACATTGATAGAAAAATACACTTGCTTTTTGTTTAAGACCTTGCATCCTGGGTGTGCACTCTAGAACTGGAAGCATTGTTCATGCAAAAATATGTATGTGAATATTTATAGCAGCATTATTCATGCCAGTTAAAAGTGGAAACAGCCCCAATGTCAACCATGTGGCTGAGATGGTGGCGGTCAGCGCCCCCTAGGGACCCGTGCCTGGTGTTTGTATGTGGCTGATGCCAGGCCCATAGTAGGCACTTGTAAACGTGTTGGATGAATTTGAAGTGGAAGCCTGGCTATTGCACATAGTAGGCACTTGTAAACGTGTTGGATGAATTTGAAGTGGAAGCCTGGCTATTGCACATAGTAGGCACTTGTGAATGTGTTGAATGAATTTGGTGTGGTTTGCACTAGTAGGCACTTGTAAACGTGTTGGATGAATTTGAAGTGGAAGCCTGGCTATTGCACATAGTAGGCACTTGTGAATGTGTTGAATGAATTTGAAGTGGAAGCCTGGCTATTGCACATAGTAGGCACCTGTAAACATGTTGAATGAATTTGCGGTGGAAGCCTGGCTATTGCCAGCTTCCTGTGCCACAAGGGAGGTGCTTGGCAAAAAGTGGGAACTTAATTAGTCCAACAGAAGAGAGGGCAGCTCAAATGTTTACTCAGTTTTTACTTAGTAGTTTTTTCTGTCAGGGATTTCTAGAAGGTGACTCTCTTAAGTGCACCTGGTTTTCTGCCAGCTACTTTGGAAGACATGAAATACATGTGCTACCCTGAAAGGATTTCCTAAAAGTCATCCAAAAGTGAGGATCTGAGGACACAGACGTTCACTAACTGCGTGACTTGAGGGCCTTTAAAAGGCATGCATTAGCAGAGAAGGCAGAATGGAGCATCATCCCTGTGTGTTTCAAAGTAGCAAAGTAACTTGCAGTGAATAGATCCAGAGTAGGTAAGAAATGCCCTCTGAGAAAAACTTAATGTCATTATTTGCAGATACCAGAGGCCAGTTACCATCAATATTTCTCACTTTGTTTTTTTTTAACAGCTCTCACAGAAGAATGGCTTTTAACAGTAAAATATTAATCTTTTACCTTTAAAAAAATAGCTTCATGGTTATTAGAATCTCTACAACAGAATAGAATATGTATTTATGTTACTAAATAGGAATATAATTAAAATAACATTGATTTTTTTCAGTAGCTTTATTGAGAAATAATTCACATACCGTAGCATCCACCCCTTTACAGTGTTTGTTGGGTTTTAGCGTATTCACAAATTCCAGAATACTCTCATCATCTCCCCCCCAAGACACCCCAGGCTCGTTCACACCACGTCCCTCGCCTCCCTCCTCCGGCTGCTGCCAGACGCGCCTCTGCTCTCCGTCTCTGTAGACTTGCCTAGACAGGGTGGATGTATGGACCCATATGACATGTGGTCTTTTATTTTACACCTGGCTCCTTGCACTTAGCTTAATGTTTTTCAGATTTATCTATGTTATAACATGCATCAGTATTGCACTCCTTTTTGTGGCCGAACAATATTCCGTTGTCTGGATACTTCTCATGTATCCATTCATCAGTTGGTAGACATTTGGATTGTGCTGCGATGGATATTCACATGGGTGCTTTTATGTGAACATATGCTGTGCACGCTCCTGAGTACACACCTAGGGGCGGAATGCGTGGGTTACGTCAGAGGAGCTACTAGGCTGCTCTGCGCACCGGCCGCGCCGAGTTCGGTCCCCAGCGGCGGTGTCCCATCGTCCTGGGCAGCGCTCGCTGTTGTCGGTCCTTGTGACGACGGCCGTCTCAGTGGGCGTGAGGGTCATCTCGTTACGGTTTTTGATTTGAATTTCCTGCCTAATGTCTAACGATGTTGAGCATGTTGTCATGTGGCTGTTGGCAGCAATGATATTTTAAAACTTTTTCTTCCAGGTAGTTTTTTGTTAAGTTTTATTCAGAAGATGACCAGTAGACACTGGTGTGCTGTTCCCATTTTGTTTCTGTCTAAGGCTCTGGCCAGTGTCCCAAGATGCAAAGCCCTGGGTCTGGAAGGGCTTCTGGCCCTCAGGTAATTTAACCTGTGTGTGTTCACCTGTGATTTTTTGACATCACTCTCCATCCATTGATTTGGTTTTCCCCTCTGATTTTCTGTAGTGAATAGTTTTAGTTAATATTGGCATTGGGATTTTTTGAGCTCTTAGTTTTATAAGAAAAAAGTATAGGAAAAAATCTATCCGTATAGTTGAACTTATGTTGTTTTACAAATTACTAATTTAAATATGTGCCATAATACATGCTGTTGCACTTTGACCACTTTAAAATAAGACCAGGAAGTTTTTAAAAAATACATTGATATATAGGAAACTAGATCAAACCAGAATATTGATGACTAAGTATTTCTAAAAATGTAAAATTATCTTCATTTATAGTCTCATTATTTTTAAAAAAGATTTGTTTTGTATTAAAGTTGAGCTTTCTTAGAGACCTTAATGGAAAAGAAAAGCTTTGAAATTCTGCGGGCGGTGACTCTGCATTCGTAATGGTAGATATTATACATTGGCTTGTCAGTAATTACCAGTTGCCGGAACCGCCCTCCTTGGGAACGTGGGACTGACCCCTGCTGTGTCCCTGCAGGGATGTGCTCCAGTGCACCACGATCACGCACCAGATCCTGCTGAGGGGGGCGGCGCAGTGCTTCCTTCTCCGGGCAGCCATGAACTTGGTTGATGTGGTCAGTGCCTCTTCTTTACTCGGGATTCTTCACTCTGAGGAGTGGGTTAGGGTTAGCAGACAAGATCAACACACTAGCAGGCCTGCGATGCTAATTCAAGACTTACCGCCTTAAGGGACTGAACGACCCAGCTGGCTTTCTTAAGGCGCAGGGTCATTTCTGTAGCTTTGAAAAGTACGAATCACTTTGATTTAAATAATGAGAAATTTCTCATAGAATGTCTTTGTTTTTGCTTTTAGATTGGGACTATCTTGTCTCTAAGAGAGTAACCTTGATTTTAAGGAAAATAGGCTTATAAAATAATCTTTTATATAATGTGTTGGTTGTTTGCAATCAGTATCTTCATTTTAAAAGTTCAATAATATTTTCTTTTTAAAAAACAGCTTTCTTTAGATTGCCCTAAATTATACTTTAAACGGAATACTAGATTGCTCTTAGAGTGATTTTATTTTATTCAGTTAAAAATTTTAAAATGAGTAACTTAAGGAAACTCCCCCCTCCCCGCCCGGCTGCAGGAGAAAGTGTCGCTTTCCGACGTCTCAGCTTTTCTCACGTCGCTGAGACAAGAGGAGTCCTTAGCGCGAGGGACACCGCTGTGGACAGAGGTGAGACTGAAGGTGACTCATGAGAAGGTCTCCAAAACCCTTATAGAAAATGTTTTCTAACTGAACTCATCACTAGCCGTTCATGCAAAGTGTAATGATTGCTTCGTTATCTATCAACAAAGATCTTTTAAAATGGTACAGTTGCTTTGAGCGGAACGGATGATGCTGCTGGGGTCGCAGGGAGAGACAGGGAAGCTGGAGGGGAGAGGGACCCCCGGGGAGAGGAGGAGGCCGTGCTGGGGGGCGGGGCTCTGTCCCGGGAGACGGAGGGGCTGAGCCGCTGCTGGGCACCGGAACAGCAGGTAACTCCGCCCCCTCTCTCTTTCCCGCCAGAAGCGCTTTCACCCACCCACTTGCCCATGCCTGGCATCTCGGGAATTTGTAAACCTTCTGGCATTATGCATCTGATTCATCTTGAGACCCTAAGCGTCTTGCTTTCCTGCACCACTGCTTGGCGGTGGCCCCCACGTGCCTGCTGCGAGACACCCTGTTTTTGCCCATCCCTGTCCCTGCCCCCCCGCCCCCCACAACGTGTCAGGGCCTTGCTGTCAGTTGGGGCCTGGCCAGCCCCTCTGCAGGCCTCCCCTGACCCCTCCTCTTTGTTTCCTTTAAGTCCCGGGGCTCCATTCACCCTACTGATTCTAGCTCCCACCCATCATACACGCGGTTGAGTTCTGATCTGTGTTCCCTGTAGGTTACGTGTGTTTTTAGTCCAGGAACCTTTTTTTTTAAAAAAAATATTTTGTGTTTCTCCAGTGCTTGATCACTGAGGCTCGGGGTGGGGCTGTCTCTTTAGGAGATAGTTCTGGCTCTGTCTGCATGGAGAGAAGCAAGAGAAATCAGCTGGGGCTGCGTTAAAGTAACTCAGGCATAAAATAAGGAGGACATAGAATAGGGTAGTGGCAGAAGGAATGGCGAGCGGCACATTGGGGCCTTTAAGAATTAGAATTTTATCTTATATTCTTGACCATAATGCATGTAATTATGTGGAATCTGAAAAACACAGAACCATTAAGAAAATAGTAATCACCTGTAATGCCCACATATTTTTTGGTTTAATTCTTAATTTTTTTGAATATACATATATTTTCACTCTTGCCTTCTCACTATATATGTATATTTAAAATGATATATTGGTATATGCGATTTACAAAATTAAAATTGCTGTTTTGAATTTTGTTTTTCATTTTTACATATATTTGAGCATGTTAACATGTTGCTAATTAATTCTCCCATATGTGATACCTAAAAATTCAGTTGATTAAATGTTTTGGAATTTATTTAATCAGTTCCTTCTGCTAGACTTTTATTTCAAACTTTATCTCATCTATAAGTATTTCACTTATGTACTGCTAAAAAAATAAGAACTTTAAAAGGATACAAAACAGGCCCTTTTTCACCTGAAAATGTTAACAATTTCTTGATTTCAAATATCCAGTGTTTACCCTTTTCCACATGTCCAATAAGTGTGTTTCTCTGTTTGTTTCTTGCACTTTGTTCAAATATTCAACTTTGTTTAAGTATCCAGATAAGGTCTATTTGTTGCTTTGATAGGTGTAGTTTGTAAGCTGTGGTTAACCCCTCTGGAATTTATTTGGTGTAGGGAATGAGCTGTCAGGTTTCAATGAGCAAATGCAGGTAAAGTGTTTCAGGCTGTGCTTAGCCCATGTAAGTGTAAAAATACCAGCGACTGCTATTGTCTGTTCCTTTGGTTCAATGAGCCAGACCTTTAATCGTTTCTTTCTTTTTAAGGACCCAGACCTTAGATTTCTTTATTTGTTTCACTTAATTTTTCAGTTGTCTACTTCATTATTTGTCTTCATTTTTTCTTCGTTTACTTTCTTTTAGTATGTTTTACTTATCTCTCAATGTCTTGAATTTATTGTATTTACTGGATGCTTTATTGTGCACCTTCTACACACCAGCCTTTGTGCTAAGTTTTCGGAATACGGTGGTGAGCAAAAGACTGTGACCACTGCGGTTTGTACGTGAGCCCCAATTTTAATACCTTTTGTTTGTTTAATAATAAGAGCACACGTGTATGTCTATGTACCTTAAGGTAGACTTGGCTGTATTCTACAACTTTTGCTATATAGTATAAATCTGCGGTATGATGATGAATCATATAGAATCATGGATATTTAGTCATTTTTAACTTACAGAAATGGCAATTTCATATAGCCCAACCTAAGTAATTTTTTAAATTAATTACTTTATTTTTTTAGTGCAGTTTTAGGTTTACAGAAAAATCGAACAGAAAGTACAGAGACTTCTCATAGCCCTCTGAGACTTCTCGTGCCTCCCCTGGGCCCGCACATTTACCCCTATTCTTCACATCTTGCGTTTGCAAGGTACATCTGTTACAGTAGAAGCATTAGTATTAACTCACGTCCACAGCTCACATAGGGTTCACTCTTTGTGTTGTGCATTTTGTAGGCTTTGGCGAATGTGTAACCGCATGCGTCCACTGTTACAGTGTCATACGGAATAGTTTCACTGCCCTACCCCCCCCCCCAATTCTCTGCCTGTTCACCCCCGCCCCAAGCCCCCTATGCCTCTGCAGATTTGCCTCTTTCAGCCTGTCATATAGTTGCAGTCATACGTTAGGAAGCTTTTCAGACTGGCTTCTCCCTCCCGTGCACCCTAAGGTCCTCCCGTGTCTTTTCATGGTTGGATGGTGTGTTTCTTTTTATCACTGAATAGTATTCCATCTTCTGATGTACCACAGTTTATTTACCCACTCACCTACGGAAGCGTATCTTGGTTGCTTCTCAGTTCTGGCAATTATGAATAAAGCTGCTACAAACATTCATGTGAAAGTTTTTTGCGGACATAACTTTCAACTCATTTGAGTAAATACCAGGGAGCACAGTTGCTGGATTGCGTCGTAAGAGCATATTTAGTTTTGTGAGAAACCACCCTCTTCCACAGTGGCTGCACCACTTTGCAGCCCCACCAGCAAAGAATGGGGGTTCCTGTGGCTCCACGTCCCCACCAGCATTTGTGTTGTCAGGCTTTGGGAGTTCTGCCGTTCCATTAGGTGTGCAGTGGTAGCTCATTGTGGTTTTAATTAGCAATATGTAACGAGATATGACATTGAGCATTTTTTCATATGCTGTTAGCCACCTGTATACTCTTAAGCTCTTCGTGAAGTGTCTTCAGCTCTTTTGCCCATTTTTAATTGGGTTATTTGTTTCCTTATTAACTTTTAAGAGTGTAAGTTGGATACCAGTCCTTTGTCAGATGTGTCTCTTGCAAATATTTTCCCTGAGCCTTTGGCTTGTCTTCGTTCTCTTGACAGGGCCCAAATAGACTTTTGTGACTTGTATTTTAATGGGAAATCAAGGGAACCTGTGTGCCTGGGGCTGCCAGGCAGATGCCACTGAAGCCATAAGTCTGACATGAAGAGACCCTTTGAAGGGAAACATTCTGAATTTTGTGATAGATTTGATAGAGGGAAAGAATCAGATATGAGTTTAAGTTTACTTCAGTAATTTTGTTCTAATAGGATTGTGCTTGTGGACATATGAGACTTGGAAAACCACGTATGTTATATAGCAATAACTAAGACACTCTGTCTGGTCAGTTTGAGAGGAATATAAAGAAAAAGTGCGTACTGTGGAGAGATGAATACTAGCCGATCTCACTGTTAGACACTTTGTATTTTAAGACAACCTGCTTGGTAAAGGCCTACACACATCAGCTTCCTTCAGAGCTGTTGAGCTGCTCATTCATTGGTTCGTGTGGGTGTCAATTTTAGTCCTGACCCATTTAGTCATTCATGAAGTGATGTATTATTATTTTGTTCATTATTATTTTGTTCTCCTTACATGTAATTTTGGGTTACCTTAATGGATGCAAAAAATATTTTTAAAAATTTTTTACCTTGAAAAAATACATAATTATTTACTTCATGTTCAAATTCATGTATGAATTTGCTTATTAAGATATATTGTAAAAAGAAAGTTGAGAACATAGATTTCAAAACAAAATTCACAATTGCATGTGATCAAAGATGAATTCTGTGAAGTTCTGTGACTTAGTTTTGCAAATCTCCTAAAAGACATTATGGAGAAGAGCTAGGACAGAATTTCTCTTTTAAATTAATATATTTTAAAATGCACACATGATATAAAATAAACTTTTGAGGAGGTAGGAACTTTAATTATAACTTATATTTCAAATTCTACATTCTCTCAAAAATAGACATCCTTGGTTTAGTATGTGAAGCCAGAATGAATTTTAGTTTAAGGTTATAACTTGTATTACATAATGTGTTATTTTTTCATGGAGATGTTATGTAGAATACCTTGTCAGAATGTGCATTTGATATTAGGTATTTTAAAAATTCTTGTCCGTTAATGAAGTTTATTAAAGCTGAGATGGAGATTAGAAAATACACACTTTTTTCTGCTCACACTATCTACTCAACCCAGTAATGACAATAAATATTTATTACTTTGCTTTATTCAGTCATTTAAATCTAGTTTATTATGGAAGAAAAAATTGGCTTTGGGAAATTAGAAACCCTTTGGTTGGGTTTTTAAAATACGGTAATAACTATTGTCTTTTCTAGCTCTGTGATTGGTTGCGTGTTAATGAAAGCTGTTTTGGGCGACCCTCGGCTTGTAGCTCCGTTGGACTTCCAGAGACAGCATGCTCCTTAAATGCTTATGTAAAGAACCTAGTTGAAGAGCATATTAAGCCACCTGCTTGGGAAGGTAAGTCTGAAATCATTTTTCTGGACCAGTATAACCAAAATGCTTTCAGAGAGCTTTTAACTAGTTTTCAGATCAAGATATGGGCTTTACCAAATGTCAGTTTTCTGATGTAGACCTGTTTTTCAGCCAAATACTGCAAATAACAGGATATGAAAATACTGCTCCCTAACTTGTACTTTATCTGTTTTAGGATTTGAAATCTTAAACTATTTTATATGCTTTAATAAACTAATAAGTGGCCAAGGGTAGGAACTGGACACAAAAAAAATCTATTAGTTTACTCTACAATTACCAAGTTTATTGTGGGCTGGAGCCTGCAGAGGTCTTTCGGGGGCCTCTGAGCAGAAATGCTTGGAGCTATATCCGTTCATCTTTTGTTTGTTTCCACAGTGCTACCTTTAGTACGGACTGATTATGCAAAGTAATTTTAGGGAAAAATTGTTTGAAAAGATGGTTTTGTTAGTTTTCCTTTTTGGCAGATACTCAGCAAAGGTAAGTCTTGCGGCTTCTTTGGGGGATGCATGTGAGTCTGCGCAGGGGAGGAACTAGCTGCAGATCCGATAATTAGGGTTCTGTTGACATTTCCATTGCTTCCTCCTCATCAGCATCATCAGTGATCATTTGGGGAAATTGCATCTCTGAATTACCGTGTCTTAAACTGCCTAGGTCTGGCTCAGACTGAGTCATTTTCATTTACTGATTTCTTTAATCTGATCATGGACTGGCTCTCAAATGATCAGATAATTATCCTTCCAAAGTACTTCAGGGTGTCTGTTCTTTTTTCTTCAACCATTCTCTTTTGTGTTTTATTTCTTCTGTTGTCTAGTAGATTTTCTGTGCCATCACTTGGAAGATTCTTTTGCTGGGCCTATAAAAGTAAATGAATTTTAGTCCCTAACACCCTAAACATAGAGTAAACCCCTGAAATAGAGCTTGCCATATAACAGAGAGTATATAACAGCATCAGGTCTGACTAAACATTTAAAATTGGATGAAGCAGGATTTTCAGATAACCATCAGTAAGAATCCACGGAGCTTCTAAAATTGCTAGGATTTCAGGAAGGGTCTGTGCTTCGAGAAGTCTGCCCTTGGAGCTTTGCTGAAGGCAAGTGAGAACTGCCCGGTTGGCCGCTTTGAAGGCCCCGGCGTGCGCGGTCCACCCCAAGCGTAGGAGTGCAGCCCCGGGGCCTCCGGCTCACGTGGCAGGAGAAGGCGCGCACGTGCACTGGGAGAGAAAATATTTCATTCTCCCACAGAGCCCCAAATGTCCCCACGCCCTCCCCTGTCCCCTGTGAGGTCTTGATTATATGATTGCTAGAAAATACGGGGAACTCAATACTATAAAGGCATTTGATGTCATTTTAGTCTTCATTTATGAATGAATTTTTAATGTCAACGTGGGATATAAAGCATTATTATGAGTAAAAATGTGGGTAAAAGATTCATCTTTGTAACGCTTATAAATTTAACCTACTAAATTTTTTGAAATAGCACCAATATTTAGATTTAAAAAAAAAAACAAATTTCTTACTGATGGAAAGTAAATGGCCTTTATAGCATTTTAAAAATAATATGTAATAAAGTTTATTCTTTTGTGTTATCTTTTAAACTGAGTTTACCTACATGCAAATATATATATATATATATATATATATATATATATATATTTTTAGTATTGTTGGTCTCTGGTACTAGACCAGTAAATTTATATTAAAATATATTAAATTACTTCCAAAATATATTAGAATACTGTAAAAATGTTTTAAGTATTTGAATCACTGGGCTAGAAAACTAGGTTTCTTACCTAAATTTTTCTTCGGAGTTGATGTGAAGAGTATAATTTTACTGCAGTAATATACCATGATTAAAAAAGAAATCTACTCATGACTTCTTTTTATTTAACTGGCTTTCTGAGATAGCAAAATATTAATTTTTATGAGTCAACCAAGTTCTCTCCACCAAAGGCTGTTCTAGGAACTTTGTGTATGTTATTTAATTTTTATAATAAAGCCAGGGAAAGCGGCAGGTTTTATTCATTTGATTTTGCAGAAGATGCCTTAGACTTTCCGAGAGGTAGCGGACTCTCAAGACGCCACGCAGCGCGTGCGCGCGCAGGCCCGGGCCTTGGGGTGCAGGAGCCTCTGTGCCCGTCTCTACCCCTTTTCTGGGTGCGTCTCAGGGATTCGCTCCTCTGCGCTGAAAACCAGACTTGCCCCTTCACTGGTCACCTGGCATCTACTCTTGCTTCCCCTACAGTCTTTTCCCACGTTGTACCGAGAGAGAAATACGTACAAATTTTGATCTTACAAATTTCTCCTTCCCTTCTACGTGTAGGGGGAGAACTCAGAGACGTCGGGGGTTCGGCTCCAGACCGTCTCAATTAAGGGAGCCACGTAAAGTTAGGTTTCACTGCGCTCTGGTCTCTCAAGTGTGCAGTAGCGTTGTGTCTGGAAAGCCCACGCTGACCATCACCTGAGCCGCCAGTGAGTTGCAGTCTTTCTGCTGACGAGGGGCTGGCCGCGATGCCGGGGGCCGCTGCCTGATTAGGGTGGTGGTTTCTGAAGGTTGGGTGGCTGTGGCAGTTTCTTAGAATCAGGCAGCAATGACTTTTGAGGCATTGGCGACTCTTTCCCATGAGCAATTTCTCGGTAGCACGCGGCGCTGTTTGATAGCACTCACCCACGGTGGAACTCCTTTCTAAAGTGGAGTCAGTCCTCTCGAACCCTGCTGTTGCTTTATCAACTGAGCTTATGTAGTATTCTGAATGCTTTGTTGTCATTTCAACAATTTTCACTGCATCTTCAGCAGGAATAGATTCCAACTCAAGACACTTCTTTCTTTGCTCAGCCACAAGAAGCAACTCCTCATCCATTAAAGTTTTGTCATGAGATTGTAGCAAATAAGCCCTGTCTTCAGACTTCACTTCTAATCCTAGTTCTCTTGCCGATCCTACCACATCTTCCGTCACTTCCCCCTCTGAAGTCTTGGACCCCTCGAAGTCACCCAGAGGGGTGGAATTAGCTTCTCCCAAACTCCTGTCAGTGTTGACGTTTTGACCTCTTCCCATGAATCACCAATGTTCGTAATGGCATCTAGAAGAGTGAATCCTTTCCGGAAGGTTCAGTTTCCTCTGCCCAGATCCATACACAGCCTTAGGCAGTGTATTTCTTAAGTGATAAGACCTGAAAGTCGAGATCGCTCCCGGGTGCGTGGGCTGCAGCGTGGGCGCTGGGTTAGCAGGCGTGAAAACAACACCGACCCCGCTGCTCGCCCCCTCCATCAGAGCTCGCGGTGACCAGGGCGTTGTCAGTGAGCCGTGAGAGTTGGAAAGGAATCTTTTTTCTGAGCAGTAGATCTCAGATGGGCTTAAGCCTCCGTAAGCCATGTTGTGAACGGGTGTGCTGTCCCCGAGGCCTTGCCGTTCCACGTGGAGAGCACAGGCGGAGCAGATCTAGCTTAGTTCCCAAGGGCCTTGGGATTTCCTGAAAGGTAAGTGAGCACTGGCTCAACCTAAAGTCATCAGCTGCATTCGCCCCTCACGGGAGAGTCAGCCCGTCCTTTGAGGCGTTGAGGCCAGGCACTGGCTTCTCCTCTCCAGCTATGAAGGTCCTAAGTAGGACCCTCTGTCAATGTAAGCCTACTTCATCTACATTAAAACCTGTTGTTTAGTGTAGCCACCTTCACTAAGTATCCGACCAGATCTTCTGGAGAACTTGCTGCAGCTTCTTCGTCAGCACTTGCTGCTTTACCTTGTGCTTTGATGTTGTAGAGATAGATTGTTTCCTTGGAACTCATGAGCCAACCTCGGCCAGACCCAGACTTTTCTTCTGCAGCCTCCTCGCCTCTTCAGCCTTCACAGAATTGAGGGGTTAAGACCATGCTCTGGGTTGGGCAGTGGCTTACGGGAATGTTCTGGCTGGCCTGATCTTCCATCCAGACCCCTAGAGCTTTCTCCGTGTGAACCAAAAGACAGTGTTGTTTTCTTATCCTTTGTGTGTTCACTGGGGTAGCACCTTTAGTTTCCTTCGAGAACTTTTCTTTGCCCTTACAACTTGGCTTATTGCTTGGTGCGAGAGGCCTAGCTTTCGGCCCATCTATGCTGTGATACGCCGTCCTCGCTAAGCCTAATGCATCCTAGCTTTGATTTAATGTGAGAGCCTTGTGACCCTTACACTTGAACACGTAGAGGCCAGTGCCGGGTTGTTAATTGGCCTGATGTCAGTGTGGCTGTGTCCCAGGGGACAGGGAGGCCCATGGGAACTGGGGGCCATGTCAGTGGGGCAGTCAGAACACACAGCCTTTATGGAGTAAGTTTGCCGCCTAACCTGGGTGTGGTTGTACCCCCGAACAATTGCAATAGTGGCATCAGAGATCACTGATCATAGATCATGATGGAAGAGCTGGAAACGTTGCAAGAATGACCAAAATGCGACAGACGCCAAGCGAGCAGATGCTGTTGGAAAACGGCGCTGGTACACTCGCCTGCCACAGACCTTCGACTTGTAAAACCCGCGCCGTCTGTGGCGTGCACGAGAGCGAGGCGCCCCTGCCCGCTCCCGGTGCCCCGCGTGGCTTCCTCCTGCCCGGGGGGGAAAGACGGAAATCCTTTTCAACGCCCACAGGCCCCCTTGTCGTTCCACCTGTCCCTGTGACCTCGTCTCGGTCATTCCCGCCCCCCGTGTCCCCGTGTCGCTGGCTCCCTTCCGTTTCCTGGAGGGGAGCCGCTGTCCTGCCCGAGGCCCCTGACCTGCCCCTCCTCTGTCTGGGACTCTCATCTCCCTCCATGGCCGCACTGTCAGCTGCCACACTCAGCCCAGCGGTCATTTTCAGTGTATGTAGCCGCATAGTCCGTAAGCCCCTTGTGTTGGAAGCCTCCCCGGTGAAGGGTTTTGTTCCGCTTCGCAACCCCGACTGTCGTCTCTGAAGCAGGAGCGAGCGGCTGGGTGCCCGGCTGGGGTGAGGCCAAGCTTGTTGCTCTGATGGTCCTGCTGGCCGTGGACGTGGAAGGAATGAAGACGCGGCACAGGTAAGCGCTTCTGAACTTGGAAACAGAGCTTCCAGAAAAGGAAAAATAAAAAGGCTGCTCAGATTTATGGTGGATATTCAGACTTGTCCACGATTGGTATGGAATTGACCACATGTATTGCATTAAAGGAGGAAACTGGAACATTGGCAACAAATTAATTATAAATTAAGAGTAAATTAATGGTACTAAAGGCCGTTAGGTTGGTAAGTTAGACTGTTACAATAATTACTGATTTTATATAAGAATATTAGAAAAATATGTTTTAAGATCCTAGCATAAGATTAGGTGAAGAAATTGACTGGATTTAATCCCTTTGTTAAAGGTGTGAACTTAAAAAGGGAATAAAGATAAAACAATCTCAGTTATATTTTGAGAGTGTGAGTGGGTTGGCTCTCTCAGGTTGTAACTGTTGCAAAAGCTGCTTCCTTAGGTCTTGTATTTGCAGGATATGCAGTTAATGTGGTTCCCATTAAATCTATTTTCTGGACAGTTTTAGTACCGAAGTTGTTTGTAACAGTTTTCTATAAATCCTTAATTCTTTATGTATTTTTTTTGTTAACATGTCTCATCTCCTTCACTAGCATTTGTTTTTGTTTTCAACTGTGGGAATGGGGTCTCAGCATTTTAATTTGCAAGTGAGACTGGCACAGGATTTCCTTTGTACTCGTGTGCAGAGCTGCGCGCACGCGGGTTCTTCCCTGTGCCCTCCCTAGCGCCGGCTCTTCTCCCCGGGAGGCCACGGGCCGGGGGGTTGGCGCGCAGATGCGGGGTGCGGTGGCGGCGATGGTTGGTCCTAGGAGGCACTGGGTGGTCGGATTGTCCACCAGAGCGATTCTGCCTCGCTGAGTCCATCAGTCAACCAACTCCACAAATTATAGTTGGAAAATAATTTCTTCATGCCTTTGAAATGCTTGATCTGGGCGTGTTTTTCATGTCTAGTGAAAAGCGGAGGATGCAGAATGTGCTGCGGACGTTCTTGGACCCTCTCCTGGACGCACTCGCAAAGCTCGGCTACAACGCCTACATGCCTGTGCCGAAGACCGACAGGTGCCTCCAGCTGCTGGTGACGCTGCTGCACGAGGCCAGAGGCCCCAGCGCCCTGGATGGGGAGGGTGAGTGGCTTCTGCGGGGGCCTTGCTTGCGTACTGCTGGTGTGTAGAACGAAAGGAGGTTCCTGGCCTTTGAAAAAGGCAGCAGCTGTTCGCTGGTCTCCGCCCCAGCGCAGCGAGCAGCCAGGCGCACAGCTGTTGGTTGCTGCTGCTTTACAGGGTGACTTCACTTGCTGCTATTTTTTAAATTTATGCTTGCTCATTGATTTTTAGACCATTGGAAATGATCACTACGTCATGTGTGTTTAAGCAAGATCCATGTCTCATTGCCGTTGGCTAGATATTGCGGAAAGTAAGCTAAAGCAGGAGGATGACAGCCATTTTGTTTGTAAATATGTTGACCTCTGAGTGCCTTCTAGGTAGAAAATGCTTCCTGTAGAAAGGATCGCGGTCGTACATCGGTAAAAGCGCTGAGCTCTTTCTTCCCCGCTTGAACTGAGACGCATGCCAGTCAGCAGCTGAGAGCGCAGTGGGCCTTGCAGAGGAGCACGCTGGTGCGTGCACCTTGGTTCTCCATCCTTCCCCACTGATTCCATTTGGAATTGAAGACATTTTAAATTAAAAAAACATTCTAGAGGAACACTGGTATTGGTTTACACCTGAGGACACTGTCGATGAGGTTAGATTTTAATACGTGCTCATGGAATAGTAAAGCCAGCTTCCAGGTTCTGATTTATTTGATACTGGTCGCAGAACCAAATGCTGTACCTAGAACAGTGACGTTTTATAAGAGTTTCAGTTCTGTAAGGGCACACATTTGGATTCATTTCTTGTGTATTTTGTGTGTGTGTGTGTGTGTGTGTGTGTGTGTGTGTGGCCCAACAGCTCTCTTTTACTGTTTTTTGTGGTAAAGTAAACACACTCACCCTGTCAGCCATCGCAAGCCTGCCTGCCAGTGGCCCTGCACATTCATATGCCCAGCCGCTGCCGCCGCCGCCGCCCGCCCACAGAGCGCCCTTCCTGCGCAAACTGACACTGCCCCCAACCGGCAGAACCTCCCGTTGCCTCCCCCGCCCGCCCCCCGGCGCCCACCATTGTGCTTCCTGTATTCACGGACCTGACTCCGCCAGGTACCTCTCGCAAGTGGCCCGTGCGATACGTGCCTTTAAAAACTCTCCTGCTGTGTCCGTTTGCATGGGCGAGGGACATGAGCTGCGTGAGGGCGCCCGCGAGCTGCTGTTCGCGCCCCCTCCCCGCCCCGCCATTGTCTCACCAGGCTCAGCGCCTCCCGGGGTGGGACTGGGCCGCGAGGCCTCTGGAAGGCTGCTGCGACGTTTGATTCGCAGGAGGTTATATACGTCACGGCGCAAAATGAACACCTGGGAACGCACCACCCAACCGAAGAGCGAAGTTACCTGCTGCTCCCCCGTCCGCTGCTTTTGTCTTCTTATTTTGACTTTTCTCTTGATCACGTTCGTACACTTTAAAAATGGTTTTACCACATATGTGGATAGTTTTCAACAACATACTGTCTTGTTCTCTTGCGTGTGAACTCTAGAAATGGCGCTTCACGGAAGAAGTCTTCCGTGACTTTCTGCAGCGTGTTTTGGGGATCCGTCCGTGTGCTGCCTCCGACGTGGTTACTCCCGTTGCGTAACTGCCACCGTGTGGTGGCAGCGCAGTCCTGCCCTTCCTGTCGCAGGGCCTCGGGTTGCGTTTGGTGGGTTACTGTTGCGTGCAGTGCTGCATGGACCCTGCGTGTGCGTCTCCTGGGTGGTGTGTGAGCCTCCCCAGGGTGTGTGCTCATTTTGACGGTACCAAGGTGGACCCCCCAAAACATGGAATTATTTTCTGGAGGGTGGGCCCCTTGTGGTATAGGCTTCCCCTGCTGGGTGAGTGTTCTAGGAACCCATCGGGATCAGTACACCAGCTGGCGTTGTTGTGAGAGGCTGCGTTTGACTTCAGTGAATTTTTTTTTTTGAAGACTCGGCACATTTGCCCATTTTATGATGGGTGATTTACGAGCGCACCAGCCCACACTGCGCTGAGTGTTCAGCAGTTTTTGACCAGAAAGAGCATGACCATCATATCCCCCAATTCACCCAATCTCACCCCACGTGACTTTCTTGGTTTCCGTGGTTGGAAAAAGTCCTCAAAGGGAAACGTTTTGCCGATGCGGAAGAAGTGAAACAAAAAATGGCAGAAGGACTAAAAGGCATCAAGATCGACAAGTTCAAAAACTGTTTTGAGCCGTGGAAAAAACATCTCACTAGGTGTATTGCATCAAATGGAGAGCACTTTAAAGGTGGCTGAAGTTTAAACGTAAAAGAATAAATACACAATTTTTATAAATTCCGGGTTATTTTGGGTCCCCCTTGTATGTGCACGTTCAGCTTTACGAGACCCAGAAAGAGGGTGTTAGCAGGGAGCTGTGCACACACTTCGCGTTCTCACAGGAAGCATGCAGGAGCCTCGTTGCCCCCGACGCCGTGCGCACCCCCCGTACCACCGGGGACGCCTCAGTGGAATGCCCGTCATGCTGGAGAGCAGCCGACCGCTGTGTAGCTGCTAAACCATATGAAGTTTTAATTAACTTTAGGTCTTAAATCCTGCAAGGTGTCTTTGATGAGAGAAGCAGAAAACAGTTACTTCAGTTTTACGAATGAGCAAATAGGCTAGGGGTTAATTACCTGGACACGGGCCATCGGACCGCTAAGAGGGAGCTCAGGAATACTGGGCGTGCGCGCTCTCCAGGTGAGACGCGGGCCGTGTGCTGCTCTCCTGGGCAGCCTGCCTGTATTGTGTTTTAAAATTGTTTAAATTTAATTTTCAGTGGTACATTATGGAAATCTTTAATATACAAAATAGAGACCCCGTAACAGCTTCTTTTATCTTTTTGAACACAAACGACAGGGGCTTCCCTCTTCGTCCTCCGGTTTTCCTTTCGTTTTCTTTTCCTTTCCAAACCTGTCCAAGCTGGAACGACCCGCGGGAGAAGAGATGTGAGGCGGCGGGGATGGTTCGGGGCGTGGCCGGGTAGCTGCGTTTGCCCCGCGTTCACCCGGTGCCGGTGCTCAGGCCGGGCCTGGGCTCGGAAGGTGTTTGCCTCGTAGGGGAGGACGGGAACCCGGGCCTGCGTCGGAGGTCCGTTCAGCAGGCGGCGGCCAAGCACCGAGTCGGGCACTGAGTCGCCGTGAAGGAGGACCCAGGGTCCCTGCCCACGCAGCCTGCGCTCTGGGGCGAGGGAGGAGACGTTACAGGCCTTAACCATGGAACGCACAGGGCGGTCCCATGGGGGGATGGAAAAGCAGACGCGAAAGTGGACAGTGAGCCGGGTGGAGGTGCAGGGGTGCAGAGCTAGGCGGGCAGGCCGGCTGGAGGGCTCGCTCTGAAGGGGACATTTAAGCAGAGACTCAAAGGATGAGGGAGGGAGGCCAGGCGAGACCCCGGGGGAGTGCGGGCCATCGGAGGTGGCTGTGGGGGCAGGGGGCGGGGGGAGTGATTAGAGGTGAATTTTGTCAGGGTGGGGGGTTGGCTGTTATGTAGGACTTGGCGGCCCGTTTTAAGAGAGAATTTGCGCTGAGCAGCAGTGAGGCCTGGCTTAAATCATAAGAAGCACAGTCCAGCTCTAGTGTCGAGCAGGAGCCGGAGGGGCAGGAACAGAGACCAGAACAGACGCTGCTGGGCTCAAGCCAGGCCTGGGCCTCGGGCGCTGAGAGCTCAGATTTGGGACGTGCTCTGAGGTTCCGCCGGCAGGGTTTGCGGACGGGTGGGATGCGGACTGTGAGAAAGGAGAGGACTCAAAGGTGCTCGATTTTTGGAGAAGCTGCACAGGTTGGAAATACTTTTAACTGAGAAAGAAGACTAAGAGAAGGTTTTGGAGAAAAGATGCGAAGTTCTGTTTTTGGGTAGTTTCAGTGAGATACCTTTTAACTTATCCTAGGCAAGGTGTTGAGTTGGCGTTTATCTTTCTGTTATTGCTTTTTGACTTAATTCCATTGTAGTTAGAAAGCATACGTTGTACAATTTCGGTTTTTAAAACTTCACTAAGGTTTGTTTTATGATCCCGGGTGTGTCCCTTGGTGAATGTTCCATGTAACTGAAAATATTGTGTGTGCTGCTGCTGTTGGGTAGAGTGTTCGATAAATGTCATTTATAGCCAAGAGTTTCGTGGAGTTTTCAGTGTTATATTCCTTGTGGAGTTTCTGTTTTTCTCTATTACTGAGAGAGGAATGTTGACATCTCCAATTTGGGATTTGCCTTTTTCTCCTTTGGGCTTTGCCAGTTTCGCCTCATGAGTTTGAAGTCCTGTTGTTTGGTGTGTCCACGAACGGTTGTGTGAAGTCATGTGATGTCCCTTTACATCCCTGGTTGTTGTCTCTACTCTGAACAATGCTTTGTCTGATAGCAATGTGACCACTCCTACTTTGATTAGAATTTGCATACTATTTTTGTTTCTGGCCTTTTATTCTTATTGTATTTAGATTATTGTATTCAAAGTGAATCTCTTTAGACGGCATATAGCTGGGTCATGGTTTTTCATCCATTCTGACAGTCACTGGTGTAGACTATTTGCATTTAATCTAATTACTGTATATGTTTGGATTTAGGCCTGTCATTTTATGTTTTGTATTCTGCTAATCTCCTCTACAGTGTGTGCATCTACCTTTTCACACTCAGGTAGAATTCACATTTTACCACGTGAAGTGGATATAGGACCCTTACCCGCCTTCCCTCTCCCCGCACAATGTTATAGTTGTCTTATATCTACATCTGTTGAAAACGCTACCAGACAGGGTTAGATGTTTTGCTTTCAACCACTAAACAGATTTTAAAGAACTCAAGAGAAGAGCCTATTCCATCTACCTGTTTATTGACAGGTCTTTTGCTCTTTGTTCATTCCTCTGTTCCTGTGTTTGCCTGACATCATCTTCATTTTGTTTAACAAAACAAAACAAAACAAAACACCTTTTAGCATTTCTTTTACAACAGTCTTGTTGTTGGCAATGAATTCTCTTAGTTTTCCTTCATCAGAGGATGTCTTTATTTCACTTCTGAAGAACATTTTCACTGGATATAAAGTTCTCACTTGATAGATCATTTTCTCCCGCAGTTCAAAGATGTTCAGTTTTTCTCTGGCTCTGTGGTGTCTCATCCCTGAAGTGATGTGTTGTTTTTCTCTGCTTTCAAGGGTGTTTCTTCGTATTTAGTTTTCAGCAGTTTGGTTAAACTGTGTCTGGGCATGACTTGCTTTGTGCTTATTAGTTTTTAGGTTCCCGGAACCTCTTGAACTTGGGAAGCATTCAGCCAGTGGTTTACTCAGTTATGTTTTTCAGCACCAACCTCTTCTCCTCCGGGGATCTCGGGGCGCGAGTATTAGACCTTTATTGCGACCCCACAGGTCTCCGAGGCCCTGCTTGTTCTTCAATCACTTTTTTCATCTGTTGTTCAGATTGCCTGTTTCATTGATCTGTTTCCAAGTTCACTGACTTTTCTCTTGCATCTCCTTCCTGTATGGACCCCATCCAGTGAGTTGTGTTTTCTTTTGTTTGTTGTTTTAGTTATTGTACTTTTCAATTACAAAATTTCCATTTGCTTTTCATGTTGAACTTCCATTTCTTTGCTGAAATTTTCTATTTTTCCATTTCTTTCAAGAGTGTTCTTGACTGACTGTTGGAGCATTCTTATAAATAGCAACGTTAAAGTCTTCTTCACATTGTTCTGACGTGAACGGCACCTCTGAGTTGTTGGTAGGTGGTCTTTTTCTGGGCATTCCTGATGCTTCATGTGCCTGGTCATGGTGGGCGTGTCTAGGTGTCTTGAGTGCTCTGGGATGCGACTCTGGGTCTCCTTTAAGTCCCTGGGTCCCGGTGGCATTAGTTCAGCCCACGGTCAGCCTGGCCGGGATGAGGCCTTGGTTCCGACCCAGCCTCTGCGGGTGCTGGCTCCCTGCAGTGTGTTTTTGGGTCCCAGCAGTGCCACCTGCCCCAAGCCCCTTGTGCTCTGTCGGCGGCTGGCCTGCTGAACGTGCGGCCTGCGGTCCCAGGGCCGCTGTCCCGAGCGCCTCCCCGTGGGCCTCCCGGAGGCGCGGTCTGGGTGCTGGGGTGCGCCTCTCCTGCTCTGACGGTCGCGCCCCCGCTTCTGGGCCGCTCCTGGGCCTGGGCCCCGCCTGCGGAGGGCCAGGGAAAACTCCCAGCTGCTGGGGTTGCTTCTGTCTCATCCGCCTGCCACTTTTGACCTTTCAGGTCTTTAAACAGCTGCTTCAAACCCTCTGGCCGGGCTGGCCGCTGCGGCTCGCCCGGAACGTGAGCCCCACAGGGTCTCCCGGGTTAACCGCAGCCCCCCACAGTACGGATGGCTGTTGTCTTATCGGAACCTGTTTTTGGTAGGTGACTCACCCACGTGCTTCACGTAGTTGTGTCTTTACTAGGCAGGCAGGAGTGTTTTGTACCAAGCTGCTCACTTGTCTCACTCCGTTGCGCTCTTTCCCGTACAGATGAGGTGTCTCTGCTCCTCCAGGACTTCGTCGCGTCCACGGCCGAGAGCATCTCCCAGTTTCTCCTCAGGAGGCTCACTATGCATGAACTGAGCAGCGTAAGTGTCCCCCGGGGTGACTTCTCGTTCTTTCCGTCGATAGCGCAGCGAGCACTGACTCGGGGACGGCGTGCAACGCGGAAGGAAGTGACTGCGATGCGGTGGTTTCTCGGGAAGCCGTGCAAGGGGGCAGGCAGCAGAGGCCGTGGAGTCGCTAGTCCCCGTCCCCGCCAGGCGGTAGCCGCGACGCTGGGGAGGCCAGGTTGCTCTGCCGGGCCTCAGTTTCCGTCTCTGCACGGCGAGGTTCCGCGTGCCCCCCGCCCCCGGGTTGAGAGAGCTCCAGCGTGCAGCGTCCTTGCAGCACGTGGCCCGGCAGCGCGTGCTCGGTCCCAAGGCAGGCCAAGGCCAAGGCCAAGGCAGACTGATTTGGCAGCTTGGGGCAGGGGCCAGGTGTCGCTAAGTCGGTATCTCTAAAGCCCCGTAAGGGACCCCGACAGGAGTCGGGGGCAGGACAAGGGGTCAGAGGCGAGAGGGCGCCTGGTGGATGTGCCTCTTTCCTTTGTCTCACTCTCCACATCGATCTTCTTCCTGGGACATGTGAGGAAATTTAGTTCTTCCCCTTCTTCGAGAATATTTTTAAAATACCAATTCTTATAGAAATGCCTATTCATAATTGTCTTTTCTGGTAGAATTCCCTAGGGAGAAATGTTGAGGCAATTAGAATTGTTAAATTGTCAATAATGTTAGAAAATGTACCTATTTTAACAGCTTTTGTTAGAATAGCCAATTAAGTACATTTGTTTAATAGCTGATAAGCGGGTGTGAAATATAAAGGCAAGATTTATACTGAAAAATGTGAGATGTTACGACAGGAAAGCAAGGAACTGTGAAGAAGAAACCCTGTGAGTGAGAAGTATTTAAGTAAACGAAAGTTGTGGTGGAGAGTGTTTATTTTTAGCTGAACTAAAATGGTAACTTTGTTTTGCTCCAATATTGCATTACTATCAGTATCATTACATATTGATTATGGAAATTTTTAGACACAAAAGAACTATAAAAAAACCCCGTTGTGCCTGTTATATAACATAGTTTGTTTGGAATTTGAAGCTAAAAATAACTTTAAACATGGAAAGGTTAATGTGATCTTATCTTTTAGAAGCAAAGATTTTTGAAGAGTAAACTCAGTGTTTGGTAGTTTAAAGTTGTCTTAGATAGGCCCATTTTAGTAAATCAGGTACTGGAATCCCTGCTTAAGTGCGTTTGTTGGGTAGCCCAGAGTTTAACTAAAACCCCTTCCCCCTCTTCCCTCGCCTCCGGTCCTCAGGGGCGGGCGCAGCGGCCCACACGGTGTCCCGGTCTCAGCTGCTGCTTCCAAGCCGACGCGGGGTCTCTGCGTCGAGGGGGCGCCCGCCCCACACGAGGCTGGCTCCCAGGAGCTGCGGCCCGTTTGCCTCCGGGAGGCTGTGCCCTGGGGCGGGATGCGCCCCAGCTCCAGGCTGTCAGGGGCACCGAGCACGCCGGCCTCGGGCCCCCACAGGCCCAGGAGTCCGCGCTCACCCCGTTCCAGCTTCTCCTGGGCACCCTCTCGCGCGTTTTCAACCTGTCCTTGTGGGTCCTTCCCAGGAGCACGAGAACAGCTCTCCGAGGCCCTTGTCTCAGCCCCAGTCCTCCAGCGCCCTGTTTGGGGCCGATCCCTGCCCCGGCCCCGACCGGCCCCCCCGCCGGCCTGTTCTCACCTGGCTTCTGCCTCTGTCCCCACGGATGCAGAAATGACCACCTCTGAGCTCAGTCACCCTTTGTCACAGGCTAACGGATGCTGTTCACACAGGTTTTTCCTGCGTCCTTGGCCCCACTGGACACTGCTGACCACACCCCCTTGAAACTGTCTTCTTGCGCTTCTTCGACGTCACCCTGTCCTGGCTTCCCCGACTCTCTGGCCACCACTGAACGTCCGTCCCCCACGGTGTAGCCTGGAGAGCAGGAGCTCGCAGCTGGGCCCAGCCCCTTCTCCTCTCATTGTCCCCTCTGACCCCGTGACCTCATCTGCCGCCCGGCTTCGCGTTTGCCAGGGACCCGCCTGTCTGTGTCTCCCCCCGACGCCTCTTCTACCTTCACACCCTTCCAGCCACTTGCTATCGACAACTCGCGTTGCATGTCTTACACTTAGGTGTTCGCAACGGACCGCTCTCACCCCTCCCGAAACCTCCCAGCGGGCCCCTCTCCGTGAATGCACTGTCGTCCAACCAGCTGCTGACGCCCCGACCATAGGGATTGTCCTCACACCTGGCAGAGCACCTGGCAGGCAGGGCTGCTCACTGATGACATTGATGAAGCACGCGCCTCCCACGTGCCATGGAAGGCCCCCGAGGGCACAGTCGCCGGAAGGCAGTGACGGTCAGGGCCTGACAGTGACCACTCCGTGACGGTCTGCTTCGTGCACGTCCAGTTCTTTCAAAAGCCCGGTGACAGATAGATGTCACCCTCCCTGTTGTACGGACAAGGAGCCGAGGCTTGAGGAGCTTGAGCGGCTTGATGGGGCTCACAGGGCTGGCGAGCGGTGGAACCGGACCGCACCCGGCCTGCCCGGTCCCGGGGTCAAAAAGCGGTTGGTTCTGCCCCTCCCCCGTCTGGCCCTGAGGTGCCGCGCAAGCCGCTTAACCTCCCGGAGCCTGGGTCGGCAGCTTAGCAAAGCGGGGTGGTCGCCTTCCGCGTGAGAGCGGAGCGTGGGAACCTGCCTGCAACAGGAGGTATCATCGCTCTGACGACGGGGAGTCAACCACGGTTTGCGCGGTGACTGTGCCGAAGGCGGGGTCCCTGTGCGCGCACTGCCGGTGGGGACCGTGCCCGCGTGGGGAGAGGATGGACGGCTTCTTGGGGGAAATGAGGTTTTCTCTCATCAATGTGTGGTTTTAGTCCCTGGGAGCAAACTATTCCCTGTCCGCACTCTGGTAGTTTGTGAACATCATGGACCCCACTTGCTGAGCGTCTTATCGTCCCTCTTAGGTTTCAGACCTGGATCGTGGCCACCTGTATCTGCAGGTCTTCACGGAGCTCACGCACCTCCATCGGGAGGTGGGGTGGAAGAGAGGCAACCCCACCTGGAGAGTAGTTTCTCTTTTGAGAGACGCATGCATTCGGCATCTTCAGGACGAGGACAGCGGACAGGTAATGCTCCGTGATTCAGGGTTTGTGGCCTTTTGGATGAGGCTGACGTGGAATGCATAGGGATCTTATTATTATAGAGTATTTTGATATAAAAAGCATCTGCTGAAACCCTATTTTTAAAGTAGCATCCTGTGCTCGTCGTATCTGATGAGGACTAGGGTGCCCATCGTACTAGACATCTGACAAAGGTGCGCTGTCTTCAGCCTTGACGCTGTTTAGACCCCAGAGGCAGATCTGCACTAGGTCCTCTGCTCGTGCACGGGTGAGGGGCCCTGCATTTCCACAGTCACCGGTCTGGTGTCCAGAGCCCTCCAGACCGGCGCTCTGCCTCCTTGTCCCACTGCATCACCCGCTGCCTTCCTCTGGGCTGCATCGCTCTAGGCCACCAGGCAGGTTTCATGGGCCGGCGGCCCGTGTCCCTCCATCGGCCCTTCCCCTGGGAGTGTCCTCCCTCCAACATGTACCTGCCGGTAGCCTGCGTGGCCCGGCTCAGGCCGCGTTTTCTCAGCGGCCGTCTCGGTCAGTGTCTCATCCTTTCCTTCGTCTTCCTGATGCACCTGGTGCCTCCATTACAGTGTTTACGTCACCCTCTGCGTCTGGGGTGATTATGTATCTGTGTCTCTCCCCTAGATTTCGGCACCTGGGGGCCTTTCTTAAACGTGCTGTAATGAGGCCCAGTGTGGGGACACACACAGGCTTTGGAGCTGAGACCCCTGGGGGTGACTCCCGCTTTATCCTGCCAGCTCTGTGGCCTCAGGGAACTCTCTCAGCTTCTGTGGGCCTCACGCACCGCAATCACAAAATGAGGGTTACTGGGTTGAGGTGAGAATTAGAGCAGGCTGACTCAGGTTAGAGCCGCGCCTGGGGCACAGAAAGTGCTCCGTGAATGTTCGCTCTTTTCATGCAACACATGGTAAGTGTTGAATGAAGTTGACCTGACTCATAGTCCAGGCTGCTAATTAAAATAATGAAGCTGCTTGATTGCTTTAGTCACCTAATTGAAAGTCTTGAAGAACTGCCCTGAAAAACGACAACATCCTGTCTAGTATAAATTAGTACGTTAGAGACAAGAAAGGCCACGATCACGAACCGCACACAGCGACCCTTAAAGGCAGGCTTGCTTCCTTCAGTCACCCTCTGAATGACATGAAGGCCGCCAGGGACCATACTGGCTCACAAGTAGCCGTAAGTTGTATTTCCGTGTTGGCAGCGTTGCTATGGAAGACTTACCTGTAGAGATACAGGGTATGTTTTAGGGGCTGAGGGGGGGCGTGGAATCAGCCGCGGGAAGCCCCTCCTGGCACGTGCCACTGCTGGCCGCAGTCGCGGGGCGGCTCTGGTCTCCAGGTGCAGCTGTGTTGCGTGCCTGCCCGTGCCCCTGCTCCGTGGTTTCGGGTCACCGAGCCCCTGGTTGACTTGCTCTGAGCGGGGAGCCGGGCCGGGCCGTCCTGGCCTCCTCCCTTTGCTCCTCCAGGCGGAGCCCCGGGCGCTTCGCGGGAAGCCCCCCACTCCCAATCTCCGCGGCAGCCCAGCAGGGCTGCCCCGCGTCACAGACAGGGCACTGAGGTGCAGCGTGTCCACAGTCACGCTGTCCTATGTGCAGAGCAGGAGCCAGACCTGCAGGTGGCTCCCGAGTCCAGCCCTTGATGGCTCTGCCATGTCACCTCCAAAACGGCTCATTGAAGGAGTTATTTACTTGTGCACCGGGAGCCTATTTAAAACATACTTCAGTCAAACAGTTACACTAAGGTGCATGGTAGGGCTGTCGGATGTAGCCGTGTAGTTGAGTAGCAAGAGGCTGAGAGCCCTAACTCAGGCAGGCGGGGGCCTGGCGTGCGCTGCTCCGGGCCCCTACCTGACCGTCTCCTCTGTCCCCTGGGTGCTCACCGCCGCTGTCTGTGTGTTCGTGCACAGCCAGTCGGTGGAGCAGCATCAGACTGTGTGCGCAGCATGCACTGGGTTTCCTTTGTGCCCTCTGATGTCCAGGTGCAGGAAGAGAGCAAGGGGGCCCGGGTCGTCACGGCGGGGCAGCTTGGCCCCGACCGGCTGAGACTGGGTCCTGGTAAAGAACGGCGCTGCGTTTCCTCCTCAGGAGCCGGCGCTGGCGAGGCAGGTTCAGAGGGCGGTCAGTATGGCGGCCCTGGCCGCGGTGTGCGAGGCCATGGACCAGGAGCCGGAGCTGCAGCCAGACCCGCTGGACGCTGGGCCCATGGAGAGGTTCCTGGCCTCCCTTCAGCTCAACCAGATGCTGCGGAAGCCGTGCCCGGAGGAGCAAAGCAGGTGTGTCGGCCCCGCGGGGCGCCGTGCGTCCGCCGAGGCCCCTTTACTGCTCACGCTGGGGAGCCGTCCTAACGCTGCGGACAGGGCTCCAGGAACTCGGAGGTGGGGCTCCGCTCAGGGGGTCATGTGTTAGCATGTTCGTCCTCTCCCTCCTGGGAACCCAGGAACCTTCCGCAGTTAGTTTTTAGTGAATGAAGATACCTGCTTTTAGGGTAGTTCGAAAAAATCGAGGTTCGTGTGGTTTCCTTGTGTTTTGGTAGACAGGATGTTTAGTAATGACTGCTCAGGTCTGCCCTCGAAAGGGCGGTGTCCACGTGCGAATGACTGAGACAGACTGAGGAAGGGTGGCAGTGACTTTATTTTTGTTTCAGTTTTTTTGAAGAATCATCCTCCTCCCAAGGATGGGGCAAGATAGCTGCACAGTATATTCACGACCAGTGGGTCTGCCTCTCCTTTCTGTTGAAAAAGGATCACACTGGCACGCCCCCTTCAGAGGGGGAGCTCCTGGGGCGCCCTCTGCCGGCCGTGCGGGTGCCCGCGGGGACGTTGCAGTCCGCACTGGACGCCCTCACCGTTCTCCCTTCTGACCAGGTCTTACCTGTGTTCCGCTGCATGAAGCTGCTGGTGCCCCAGGTAAGGGACTGCGAGCCGCGAATTGAAGCGTCGCTATGGGAGTGAAGTCAGTTTCTGCAACTAAATGATAATTATGGATTTCCCTCTTTTTTTTTTTTTTTTCCTACCAGCTTCTGGCCTCTTCTGAATCAGTCTGCATAGAGGCTTTTGACATGGCGTGGAAGATTATATCTTCTCTAAGCAACACTCAGCTGACATTCTGGTCTAACTTAAAAGCTTTTGTTCAGTTTGTTTTTGATACCAAAGTTCTTACCATCGCTGCAAAAATCAAGGGCCAGGCATATTTCAAAATAAAAGAGGTAACTTTCTTTTAATGGGGGTAAAAAAACACATGATGTAAAATGTACCGTCTTACCTGTATTACGTCTGTTAAGGAACGTTAAGCATGTCCGCGTCGCGGTGGCAGAGCTCCAGCACGTTTTCGCCGTGCAGAACCCGAACACTGTGCCCGTTGGCACCCCCGTCCCCCTCCCCTGGCAACCATTCTCCTTCCCGTTTCTACGAATTTGACGGCTTTAGATAAAAAGTACACTTGAAACCTATATAATCTTATTAACGAATGTCACCCAATAAATTGAATTTAAAAAGTGGTTTCCCTTTTAATTCGTGTGACCTCATGGCACATGAGGGAGAAGAGTTCTATTTGGAACTGCGTATTAGATTTGTTGTTATTTATTCAGTCAGTCAATGTTTTGAACCTTCTTCAGTGTCACGAGCGAGAACAAGGAAATCTTAGATGCCACAGAGCAGGTGAGACGGTAGCCCATGAACCACATCTGTTCCACGAACGTATGTTACTTGGTTCATATCATGTGTACCATTTGGAATGAGTTGTCACATTTCAGAATTGGGAAATGTGCGCGAAGCTCTTGGAACATGGGGCGCCCTGGAAGCCCTGGCCGTCCCTCCGTGGCCGCAGCCCCGGCCCGTGCCCCCTCGCCAGTCCACGCCACCCCCCGTGTCCACTGGACGCCAGGGGCAGACGTCAGGCGCCATTGGCCATTGCATTTGTGCCGTCGCTTTCCTTGTATAAGACATACGTCTGTGACAATAACCCGATCCCAGGGTCCTTCTGGTTTCTGGAGGCATTTGGGTTTACGACCACTGATCGCACCAGGGAACACAGCATGATGGAATGACATCAAGCCTGGGAACTCACACAAGCCTTTACTCAAGGGGGAAGGGGATGCACAGCCCTGTATGACCCTGCTGCCCCTCCTGTCCCCGCTGCCTCTCAGTCCTTTCCTGAAGCCCAGCACATACTTAGAGACCGAGGTCTTCGCTGCCTGAGGGGAAGGGAGGCTTCAGACAAAATGCAAAGAGACCAGACTGTTCCTTCCTTTCACTCTGTGTGGGCGTGGCTTCTCCTGCAGAGTTCCCGGTGAACACCACCAGCGGTCAAACGCTGTTGCTATTGCGAAATGAACATTCACATTGATGACCGTTGTTTTTCATTCCAGATTATGTACAAGATGATTGAAATGTCTGCTATAAAAACTGGAGTCTTCAATACACTGGTAACTCACTGCTGCCAGTCCTGGGTAGTTCCTGCTTCAAATGTATCCCAAGGGCCTTTGTCAAATGCTAAACATTACAGTGAGCTGGTCCTTGAAGCTTGTATATTCGGAACAGCGTTTAGGCGTGATCAGAGGTAAAGATGCTGTCATCTCAACCTGTCCTAACTTATATTAAGTATCTACATGGGCAGAATTGTTTTTATTTTGGGGCTTTCGATGAGCAGAATATAAAGTGTCAGTTAACTTCGAATTTGGGGCTTTAGTTTTTTTTTTTTTTTGTCTAAAACCTGTTGTTTTTGTCAAATGTTTTTTATGGAAAGACTCATTCAGGACGTACAGACCTTTATAGAAAATCTTGGACACGATTGTGCAGCAAATGTTGTTATTGAAAAGTAAGTACTAGGGGTTTTTCACATCTTGTCATAAGTGGGACGTTCAAAATTTATTGTTATATGAAAACCTTTCTGTATTTGTTAAAGTTAATAAATGTCTACTCTTATGCTGAATGAGCCATCAAGAGTATGTTAGAAATTATATTCCACTAATCTGTTTTCTTCAGATCTGTCACTATTTACTAAAATTTGATAAACTTTAAAAAACTTAGAGTGCAAAATCCAACATAAACAAGGAAATGACTATGGGGAACATAAAACCTCTATTCTACTTTGGCTTGGAGGGTGATTATCAGCACACACATTGTATTTTATTTTATTTTATTTTAGGCCAAAAGTCACCATATAACAAGTCAATATTCTTACACAAAAATAATATTACTCTTGGAACAAGGCCTAAAATTTTGATTTCTAGGATAAGACTATTCATCTAATCTTTGGATTAATGCTTTTGGAGCTCATCGAAATAGCTTTTTAAAAAGTTTTTTTTTTATTATAATTTTTTTAATCCTCACCCGAGGATATGTCCATTGATTTTAAAGAACGAGGAAGGGAGTGAGAGAGAGAAAGAACAATCATTTGCGTCCCATATGTGCCTCGGCTGGGGATTGAACCTACAATCTATGTGTGTGCCCCGACTGGGAATCAAACCCACAACCTTTTAGTGTACATACAATGCTCCAACTAACTGAGCCACCTGGCCAGGGCAAGTTTTATTTTTTTAACATAATTTTCAAAAAAATCTGTTTGTCTAGCCATGACCTATGAGACTCAGTTTGTTGGGTGCTGTCCAGGAAAACAAAAGGTCACTGGTTCAATTCCCAGTCAGGGAACGTGGCTGTTTGTGGGTTCAGTCCCTAGTTGGCACGTGTGCAAGAAGCAACTGATTGATGTTTCTCTGTCACATTTATACTTCTCTCCCCCTCTTTCTCCTTCCCTTACCCTCTCTCTACAAATAAATAAATAATTAATTAAAAAAAAAACATGTGTCTAGGTATTTATAAAGAAGATGGTGTTGTATTTATTCACTTTGATTTTAGAGTTTAGGACAACAAATGATAGTTGTGTATGGTTATCACAGTGTTTATTATTCTAAGTGCCATCGCTATGTTTTATCTTTCACTCTTCATTAAAAATATACATTTTTCTCCCCTGGCTGGAGTGGCTCAGTGCACTGAATGCTGACCTGCAGACTGAAAGGTCACTGGTTCATTTCCTGCTCAGGGCACATGCCTGGGTTGCAGGCCAGCTCCCCAGTTGGGGGCGTGCGAGAAGCAACGATGGATGTTTCTCTCGCACATTGATATTTCTCTCCCACTCCTTCCCTCTCCCTTCCCCTCTCTGTAAAAATAAGTGAAAATAAAATCTTAAAAAAAATAATAAAAATATACACTTTCATTGTTAATTGTTCTAATTGATCTTTTTTCCCTTGACCAGTTTAGTGTAGCAAAAAAAGTACAATTTTTTAGTTGATGGTTCCAAAATAACCTTGATTTCTAGTAGAGAAGTGTTTTGTTGTTAAATTAAAATGACATTTGTTTACATTATAACAGTTACAATGAGCTTTGGAAATTCACTTACTTTATCTTTCCACATTTGCAAACTGAAAATGCTGGGAAGCTGAGAGCACACGGTGCCTCCTGAATAAGCCCTTCGTGCCCAGAGGGTGCACTTGAGGTGCAGCTGTGGAGGCACTGGAGGCGGAGCCTTGTCCCCAAGGGTTGGCGGGTGGAGCTGTCCATGGTCCTCACTCAGGAATAGCTGCCTCCGTTTTGTCCACTGATAAGATACCATTCGCCCAGAGTCAGCTGTGTGCGCGTGGTTTTCCTACAGATCTGGGTGAATTTGTTCCTATTCAGACTTTCAGTATAGGCCGTCTTTTGATATATTCACTTCCTATCTTCTACCATCTATACTGAATTAAAAAGCATTGTCATTAATTATGGATCTACTTAATTTTAGAAAACTTTGGAAGGTTTTGCTATTTGTTATGATATTTTGAAACTAATATTTGAGGCATTTTTATGTTTTGAAAATGTATTAACCCAGTCTATCTTTTTATACTTTTTAGTACCAAAAGAGAGGACCATTATGTCAGAATTTGTGCTGTCAAATTCCTGTGTTTATTAGATGGCTCAAATATGTCTCATAAGTCGTTTATGGAAGATCTTGCAATCAAGCTACTGGATAAAGTAAATATGCTTTTTTTTACTTTGAAGTATCTTTGTTTACTTAAGTCAAAATTCAACATTTGTTCTTTGTGATGACAAAATATGTATTTCTAAATATTTTTTATCAAGAAAAAACATGAGGTTTATGTTCTAAATTTTCAGTTAAATGTTGGTTAGTAATTGTCCAGCTCAAGTTTGGTTTGGAGAACAACAATGTTTTCCCTGTACTATCTGACCTCTATTCTGGATATTTTCCAATACCAGTCAAAGCCAGTTGTACTTAGAGTGATGTATCCATACATTGTTTTATGTAAAAAATAGAGTAAAAAGGTAAAAAATTAGAAACTGGCCGTCTGCAAATTTACTTACTCATGAACGTGGTGCTGGCTGAAGAGCAGGTTTAGTAAAGCTGGGAGAAGAAAGAGGTAAAAACCCAAGTACAGTGCTCACCTCTGAACGCGAAGCCGAGGTAGAAGGCGTGCTTGGCGCCAAATGTAGCTGGTGACCGTGCAACCCCCTGAGGTCACCGGCACTGAAATGCAGGGCTCGTCATGCATTTGTCCGCTTTATGCTATAAAACCTGGAAGGTATTGTTATGCAAAAATGTCCTCCTTTGCTTGGTTGGTGCCAGGAGAGCTGTCTCAGGGGAAGCAGCGTTTTGCTCGTTTCCTGAAGGATGAGTAGAATTGACAGTAGCAGGGAGCCCACCAGGCGGGGCTGAAACGCGCCCTGTGTTGGACGTGATGCCTGCCGGCGCGGGGGCTCGCGCGGCCGTGGCTCTCTGCCTGGCGACGGCAGTGCCCGCCCGTCTCCCATGGCCTCCCATCTTCCTGGTGTGTCTGTCCAATGGCAGATGCGTATTTTGAACTTATTTTGAACTCACACAGGACAGAGTGACACAGAAGCAGTGCCCATGTTGGCGCCTTGAGATGCACGTCCGATACCTCCGTCCCTTCCCGCCGCACGGCCCTGTGCCCCCCTTAACCAGCCACCGCGCAATAGCGTGTCCTTCCGAAGACTTTTGTACTGACTGCAATTACATCGTTTCTTTTCTAATTTTCAAAGCAGATAAGCGAAGCAACTAAATGCATTGTTTTGAAAGGAAACTGAACGAGTGTCTCTCTTCCCCTCCTTTCTGCCCCTTGGAGGACAAGAGGCTCCTGTGTCCAGTTTAAACCTTCTAAGTTTGAAGTCACCATGGACTGTTTTCATGAATCACAAATTCACCAAGTATTTCAATATTAATTCCCTCCCTGCCCCCAGGATGAACTGGTGTCCACGTCTAGAACTCGGTACTATGTGAATTCTCAACAGCACAGAGTGAAGAACCGAATCTGGCAGATTCTACTCGTGCTTTTCCCCAGATTTGATCAGGTATAATACTTATTATATTTGTACCTTTAATCATAATGTTTCCACATGAATAAACTATTTAATAGACACTGTCATGTGTTATTTTAAAATGGAGAAATAACCTGCTTAAAATTTATACATCAGTTCTTAAAATTGAAGTTATTCAGAACTTTTTTTAACAAAGAATACTTAGGCCATTAGGTGTCGCAGAAATAAATCAGACATTGATTTGCCTGGCCCCAGTTCAATATTGTAATGCAATGCTGTTAAGTATTTGAAGTTTCATATGCCATTTGATTAGGAAATCTAAATACATAACTCCTAGCTTTCAGCAGCTAAGCTGTTTTGGGGTGTTAGTGTTCCGTGTTGTCTGAAGTCCAGAAACCATGAAGTGCACCTTCAGGAAACAGGTGGCTCAGCCGGGAGCGGGGGTGGCGTTCCAAACAGTCGAGCCTACGGTCACGCTCCACTCCATGCTGTCGCGGGGGCATAAAACGGGCTCTTCTGCTCCTCTTCTACCCGTTAGAAATTCTTTTAAGATTTTTCAACTTTAAAATAAAGAAAAATACATAATAAATATTCTTATGAGCTTATATAAGGAGAGAGTGCTTTTTACCTGTTACTCAGAGACGTTCAGTTACCCAGGTGGAAGTGCGACTTCAGAGAGGACGGTGTTGGGGGGCTGATTTTGGAGTTGGGGTCCTGGCCAGAGCTGGGGAGGCGGTGTGGGCGGGGGTGGGAGTCTGTCCAAGGAAAGAGGCAGGAGGCCCGGCCTCGCCCCCCCACCCCTGCCGACTCCAGCGCCCTGGGTCCAAGCTTGCCGTCCAGGCATCCTGGCACATCTTGGTCTGAGTCCGACCTCCGCTGCTCACTAGCTATGCGCCTTCGGGGCAGTTAGTTAACTTTTCTGAGACTTGTCTTTTCTCAGAGGATAATAACCTTTCTCACAGAATGGTGCAAGTAAAACGTGAAGTGCTCAGGACAAGTACCTCCCTCGTCATCATATCTCAGTCAACAGTCACTAGGGTCATTGTTGGCAGAGTGGTAGATTCAATAGTTACTGACAATGAAACTTGAAGCTGTTTTTTTAATGGTGACTATTTTTAAAATTAAAATTAATAACCATCTTCACAGTTGCTAAGAGATTGTATCTTAATTGTTCCCACCACAAAAAGAAATGATAATCACTTGATGTGATAGGGGCGTTAGCTAATGCCGTGGTGATCATCATATCATGATATGTAAATGTACCAAGTCGACATTTTTATCCCTTAAATTTATACAATATTATATGTTAATTATATCTCATTAAAAAGAAATTTAAAACAATTGATAACCATAACTCAATTTAATTTGTGGATTTTTTTTTCTCAGAATTTCTTGAATAGAATCATTGACAAGATTTTCCAGGCTGGTTTCATCAATAATCAGGCATCCATAAAGTATTACATAGAATGGATCATTATATTGATCCTTCATAAATTCCCTCAATTTCTTCCGAAGTTCTGGGATTGCTTTTCTTATGTAAGTAAAGATTTTTCATTTTTTTTAATTAAGAAAGAAGGGGGCCGTGCTGGGAGATTGCTCCAATTAGTTGTTTTGTGACTACCCGTTGTCTTGTCCCCAATGTATTGACATCCTGAATTGTGTTTCGCAAGATTTGAACTAATGTAGGAGACAGAAACCCTGGCTTATCTTGAGTGTACCATTGTGTGTCTGAGAGCTCTTCCCTTCTAACGAAATAAAGATGGAAAAGTCTTCTGTTATCAGGAAGTGAGAGAAATGGGTGCACTCTCCAGTCTTACCTACCAAGAAATGTCTTCGCTCTTAGAGATAAGAATGGTAAAGAACTAAGTGCATTCCTTACATTTTAAAGAAATTTTTAGTAGGTAAATTTCAAACATAACCAAAGTAGAGGGACTGGGAGGGAGCCCCTTCGGCCCAACTAAAGACACTTGTCAGTTCCTTCCCATTCTTACTTCGCCTGTGCCTCCTCCACACCTGGGCTCCGCCCTCCCCAACATTGCTTGTGTCTTGAAATCATTTATAAGAAGTTGATACTAAGATTAGTGATAGAGCGTACAACCCTGGCTTCCCGACAAATAACTAATTGTTTCTACACACTAGCTCTGCTGGTCCCAAGCTCGCGCTCCCTTTGTGACCTGCCTTCTGCTTTCTGCTGCTTCCTTTCCTGTTTCCTCCTTCCTGTTTCAGGGGAAGGAGTGGTGTTTGCATTTCCTTTACCGGCTGCACTCTGAAATCCTCACTCTTAATCTGTTGAACTTTTGTCCTTCCAGCCACTGTGTGGTGTCTTTTCTTCACGATTAAACTTCAGGAACAAGTGACCTTTGCCTTCCCCTCTCCGCTGGGTCCACGTGTCTCCAGGGCTTGCACAACCCAGTGCTTCCTGAGCAGCGGGCCTTTCTCCTTTTGCTTCGCCTGCCTCCCGTCCCAGCGGCCGTTCACACTGGCGGCTGCCTGCCCCGCCGCTGGCTGTCCCCGCGGTGTGCCTCTGCCCGCCCTCGGGCGCCGACTGCCTCTGGTCCTGCCGTGCTCGCCTTCTCTCCCTCGTTCAGCCCTGAGCTCCTGTTTCTCCATTGCCTGCGCTGTGACCCCGCCTCCGCTGTCTCAGCGTCCCCAGCCCCCCGCACGTGCAGCAGAATCGATGAGATCTCACTCCCTAAACTGTCCATTTCCTGTTGACCGCCATTCTCCCAGGCTCCAGGAGCCACGTCATCCGCAGCCGTGGAGGACAGGGCACGTCCCTTGTGCAGAAGCGCTTTCCGTTTCACACCCCCAGCTTCCTCTCTGGCATGTCCTTCGCTTCGTGTCCGTGAGTGAAAAGCAGCATTCTTCTGTCCGTCCGTTTCTCTTGACGTGCTTCTCAGACCTGTGGCTCCATTGATCTCGTTTGTTCCATCCGCCCTCCGTGGGGCCGGGCTGATTCTGGACTCCTGAGCCGTCCCGTCTCTCGTGTCCCCAGTAATCCAGCCGCTTGTCCCCCGTGTTCACAAAGAGCTTTCAGACCTGGTACGTTCTCTTCAAATCTTTCGCTGTGGACATCAAGCAGGGTTTTTCATTGTGAGGAAATGCAACAAGTTTGGCCGACTGAGTCAGAGCAGGACCGAGGACGAGCCGTCGGGGAGGAGGGCATCAGGCAGCTCGCAGGAGGCCCAGAACGCAGGCTGGCGCCGCCAGGACACCACAGGATCGGGCTGGAAAAGAGGAGAGAATGAGGCGCAGGGGGACGTGGCGGCCCCTGGACTCCAGGCACAGAGGCCGGTCCGCTGGGGCCAGTGCTTCTGCCCCAGGCACACGGTGCAGTCACAGCCGCGCTGCGGCCTCCGCCGCCTGCATGGAGTTGTCCTCCGTGGGCTCTGCCTTTCTAGGTTGAGTTCTCGATTCAGGATTTGGGGCGGTGCCTCTGGGTCCTGGCCAGGCGCCTTCTCTTTAGCGGCAGGGTGGCTGGGCGGCTGGGAAAATGACTGGCTGCCACTGTCAGCCTCCCACGAACTGCGAGGTGGAGAGGCCCTGGACGTGGAAGGACGTTCGGGCTGAATATCTGGAAAAAGGGCAGATGGCCACTGCACCCTCTTCTTCCTTTGTTTGAAGCAGGTGGCCCTGTTATTTCTTAGTGACAATAGAAGTCACCAGAGAGGAGTCTTTGTCTTCTCAGCAGCAGCCCCACGCGTCTACCCGACACTTCCTCCTCCTGCCGCTGAACAGGCGCGGTCCCCTGCTTGCTCTCCGGCTCCTTTTCCTTGTGCTCCCAGTGTGTTTTCCATACTCAGTCTCTCCTTCACCAGTGGCCCCACGGCTGTAAACGCATGCCCGTCCTTGTTTGTAGAGCTCACACTGAGCCCGCCCTCCCGCTGACCCTGCCCGGTCACCGGCGGCGTCCCGCGCGTCCGACTCCCACGCCGAGCTTCACCGGCGCCCGCCCACCGCCCTGAGCTGCCGCGCGTCTCTTCCCAGTCTGTCTGGCGCCTGTCCATGTGTCACCCACGTGACCGTTGGGAAGGCGTCTGAGTTCCGCTTTCACACTCTCACACGGCGTTTCCGCGTGGCTCTTCCAAGTCATCCGCAGGGTCCCCCTTGATGCCTGAGCCCTGGCCTTGGGGTTCGCCGCGGCGCTGCCTTTGCCTTCCACTCACCTCCGTGTCTTTGTCTTGCTCATTCGCCAGCTGTCCTCCCTCCTCCCTGCTCCCCTCTGGCCAGGCCCTCTCACCCTGCCGGCCTTGCCTCTCCTGGAGGGATGCGCCGCGACGCCACCTGTCCCTTCACAGGGGGCTGGTTAGTCCCTCGTGGTGTCTGCTGGTTGCCCTGTGTGGGCGTTTGGCTCTGGGAAGTTCCTTCTCTTCCTTCGCCTCTGACCCCGTGCCCCGCAGGCCGCGCTGTGCAGGGCGGACCGCCTTCCTCCCGAGCCCCGTGGTGTCGGCCGACTGCAGGGGGCCTTGAATGACTGTCCTGTTTATCTGATTATTTTTTCAGGGTGAAGAAAACCTTAAAACAAGCATTTGTACCTTCTTATCAGTGTTGTCGCATTTGGACATCATTACTCAAAATATTCCAGAAAAGGTAAGTTTAAATTTTAAGAAGAGTTCCAACTTGACTGTCAAAGTAGAATTTTATATATCGGTACCAGTTTTGTAAATGTAGAGTATTCCTTATGTTTTTGCAATTTCTCCTCTTCCCTTCCACTACCCCCTACGATGCCCCCACACTTGGACATAAATGTGCAGCGAGGTGTTCCCTCTCGCACACGTATGCACTGAGGGACGCGCTGCATCACCAGACACGCTCGCGGGCAATTTTTAATGATACTATTATTAATTTTATACAAGTCTTTAAATATTATTTAAATAGGAATTCTCATGGCATTTAACTCTTCCTTGACTGGCATCGTTATTGAACAAACACTCATACAAAGACATTTCTGGTCTCAATGCTAAAAGCTACTGGGTAATTGAAGGTCGGTGTAAATGACTGTCATCACGAGGCATGCGAGGCCACTTCTTTCTCGGGTTCCGGGCAGTCTCTCCGGTGGGTTACTGGGAAGCAGAGACCTTCGCTCGTTCTGGTCAGTCACTATGGTCACTGAAGAATGTAGGAAAACCTGCCGGGTAGGTTTGCAGGTCGATTCTGGCTGTTGAATCTGTGGAGAAGGTGCTGATATGCTGTAAGCTTTAGGAGAGACGTAGCGCATGAAATAAGCGTTGTTTAGTGTTCAAAGTGAAGTAAAAATAGAGGGGAAAACGGTTTCCTAGAATTTCTCAAAGTGTTATTGTCTTTAAACAGTGGTAGGAGTCGAATGTAGTTGTTAACCTGTCTCACTGATCCTAAGACAGACCCTTCTCCCCACCACCTGGTAACCTCTAAGATCCCGATAATCTTAAAACTGGTGGCGCCTTACAGTGTCGTTCAGCCGCACGGCAGTGTGTCACTTCCAGGAACTGGTAAGATCAAGGAAGCGCTGGCACCCAATAACTTTTAGTGCCATGTTCCCTTTTAAATGTGCGCAGAGAGAGCTTGGCTTGCAGGCTCCTGAGAGGGGACAGGTGCGCTGCGTCACGGCTGGGGGGGGCGGTGCTGAGAGCTCGGGGTTGGTTTAGACGGATTCTGATGAGGAACCCACCTTAGGAGATGTCGGTTAGATCTGGATATAAACAACGTGGTGTTTTTCAATGAAGCTCTTTGTGTACTTGCTGTATGTGAGATATTTTAGGTTTATTTTAAGTGTCAAAACATCCAAAAAAGCAATGCTGATTAAAGGAATAGAATAATCTCAATTTCACAATCTTCCGGGTGGGGGGGGGGGGGGGTCGGGAATCTAAACTGGGATACCTAAGTGAAGACCAAGCTATTTCCCTTTGTGAGTCTCCATTTGCAATTTGTAAAGACCATTGGTATTTGATAAATGTGTTTCTGTTTAAAGACTTCTTGGCAACAGTCGTTTAAGACTTTCCATTTTCTTCAGAGTGTGTCCTCTGTCACGGAACCTGGGTGTGTGGTCTGTGCTGAGCAGTCAGATGAGCTTCAACCCTGCTGTCCCTCCGGACAGCGGTCCGGGTCCACATGCTCTCTGGGAAGTGAGAGAAAAGGGGGCCCAATGTGCCCGCGCTGTGCGTTGGCCTGTCAGCTGCGCGCCGGGCGCGCCTGGTGGCAAGGTGAGGAGGGGCCGCCGTTGTCCGAAGCAGGACCCCAAGGTCGGGGCAGGCGCAGCGTCCAGTGACCGGGCCGCGCAGCCCAGGCGGTGCCCTGAGTTGGTGCAGCCGTCGGATTGTGGGTTTTATTCGCTGAACAAGTAATGTGTACCCCACACCCAGATCTTGGTTTCTAACACCGTTCTCTAGGATAAACTTACAGTGCCAGGAAGTGTTTCACACATGTGTGCACGCACAGACACACACAGACACACATGTGGGATGGGTTCCTGATGGCTAAGACTGAAACAACTTGAGCAACAAAATAAGTAAAGTAATATTGGATTACAACTCAGAGTATAAAATAAATATCTATGAGCCCATGCTAACAAAAGTAAACGGAGGGGTAAGTGAATAAGTAAATCAGAGATGACAAACGCCCTGTGCAGAATACCACTCAGGACGGGGAGCGAACCCCCACCGCTAGTGAGGCTTGCACGCGGCACCTGCTTCCGGAGAGTGGGGTGTGGGTGTCGGGGGCGGCTTCTTGGTGGGCGGCCTGAGACAGTGGTAAGTCACGCTGGTGGTGTGTCCCCTCGGTGTGGTGTGAGGAGAGTGGCATCCGTGGGCCCCCCCACCCCCGCAACACCGTGGCCCCTGTCAATTCATGAATAACATCACCCAAATCCAGTCAGGGGGCAGCCTTCACGATCCCTGAGCTCTGTGCCTCAGACCTGACAAGGTCATCAAAACAAGGAGAGTTCCGGACACTGTCACAGCCAAGAGGAGGGTGGGGGCAGGGCCACTAACGGGCACGTGACGGGGATGGGACCCTGGGACGGGAAGAGGGCGTGAGGAAAGCGCAGGAGCGCGGAACAGAGCACACGCTGAGGACGAAGGCTGTGAAGACTGGCGAGACGCCTGGGTGGGGGGCGGGGCCTGTCCCCCGGCGCTTGGACAGTGTTCCTTCCGTTCCCTGTCGCCTGACGTGGACGGACGCTGCCTACTTACTGTAAAGAGCACAGAAGCGCCGCCTGCTCAGAGACAGCAGTTTCTCTCTTCAGAATCGTCTCTGGCCCTTATGTTTTATGTTGCATTAGTTTCAGGGGCACAGCATAGTGACGGGACATGTACACACGGTGTGTGAGCTGAGCTCGCTGCGCCTCGCAGTCCCCGCGCTAGGTCATCGCGCCGGTTCCGGACTGTGCAGCTTCTTCCCTCCCCCACCCCCGCCCCCGTCAGTCCTCAGTTGGATCTCTGCTTCCCAGTCTGTTTTTGTTTCTGTTTGTTTGTTTTGTTTTAGGGCCCACGTAAGAGTGGAATCCTACGGTATGTGTCTCTCTTGATGTATTTCACTCAGCACAGTCCCCTCCAGGTCCGTCCGTGCTGTCGCAAGTGGTAGGGTTCCCTTTTTTGGCGGCTGCATCGCATTCCACTGTGTATGTGCACCACGTCTTCGGGATCCACTCGTCTGTCCGTGGACACCTGGGCTGCTCCCACGTCTTGGTGGTCGGAAGTAGTGGCGCAGTGAACGCAGGGGTGCCTATGTCTTTTCAAACCCGTGTTTGTGCTGTGTGTGGATAAATACCCAGCGCTGGCCTTGCTGGGGGGCGTGGCAGCTCCTTTTTCAGTTTGCTCAGGACCCTCCACGCTGTTCCCCTCAGTGGCTGCACCGTCTTTGGCCCCTCTTTATACCTGTCAGAGTTCAGGATCAAAAGATTTCTAGTGCTTCCTGTTCCTAAGCCCAACGCTAGACCGCAGCTGCGGGGCGCACACAGCAGGTCTGTCTGCAGGGACGTGCCAAGCGGAACGTGCCGTGTGCCCCGGCGCAGGAGCTGCCCGTGGAGACCGCTGAGCCTCCCTTAGCACAAAGACCTCCCGACCGGGAAGGTCAGCAGGCAGGTGAAGGGTGTGCGGCAAGGTCAAGGACGTGGAAGGCACTCGTTGGGCTGGAGAGGGAGCAGGTCCAGCTCAGGAAGGGCCTCTGTGAGCACATCAGGGAGGTCATGGTGCCCGAGAGAATGAGCCATAGAGCCAGACGGCCCTGGGTTCAAACCTCAGCGTCACCTCCTACTGGGTCAAGTGAACTGATAGTTTTAAACCCCCCTTTCCGCAGCTCACGGGGCACGACAGGTAGCAAGTACTCAGGATGTGGGGAATTGGCCCTTTGTGGAAGGGCATTCTGCTCTGCGGCAGGGTTTTCCCAGAAATGTGACGCCAGTTGGGTGTGTTGTGCGTGCGGGTGTGGAACGGGGTGTCGGGGCAGCAGAGCAGCTGTGATCGGAGAGGGCGTCACCTGATGGGGCGGTGGCATGGGGGTGGCAGGCCAACCAATGTGACAGGGACGGGTCAGGAGAAACACCACAGCGTGGGGATGGATTAGATGGGACAGATGAGAAGCGGAAATGACTTGGGCCACCTGTGTGGGGAAGTGCCTGTCACAGAATTAGGGAGCGTGGCAGGAGGCGGAGCAGACTGCGGGGACAGGGAATGCAGGCGGGCGGTCCCGCCCAGGCTTCAGGCTTGTTACCTGTGAGGGATCCGCGTGGTGCTGGAGGGCGCAGTCGGCGCTGGGGTCTGGAGCTCGGGGAGGGGCCTGAATAGGAAATACAACTGGGCAGCTGCCCTCATTTTAGCATCACAGCTCAGACACCCGAGGGGCCCATGGGGCAAAGCGCGCGCCGCCCATCAGAATGACAGGGAGGCCCGAGGGCCCGCAGAGCACCAGGCGCGCCGGACGCGGGTGCACCTGGCACGAGGCAGCGGCTGAGGACGCGCTGGGCCGGGGAGCCCTGGGCTGCCGGGCTGGGGAGCCGCAGCCTCTGTTGTCAAATATTCCTGCAGCCAGGGCTTCAGGTGACAAGCGCGGGGGCAGCCGTTGGAGGGCAGTCGTGGAGGCGTGTGCCGCATCGAGTCGGGTTTCATGGGGCCCTGGCGCCCTAGCTTTGTGGGCGGAGAGGCGGGGCGCAGCCCTGAGCCTGTGCTCACGGGAGGCCTGGCCTGGTGCAGGCTGTCGGGGAGGCTCTTGGTCGTGACCGGGGAGGCAGCTGGTTCGTGGCTCAGCTCCCGGTGGCTCGGCTGAGAGCCCGGAGTCCGCTCCTCTTGTGCTCCCTGTGCTTCTGTGATAAAGGCCCCGTTCTGCCTAAGTGGCCAGGTTCTGTGTCTGCAGCTAAACTCCGACAGAGTAAAATTCAGATATGTTTCAAAAAAATAAAACATAAAATTGAAATATTTTTCAAAACACTGCCCGTCTTGCCAAAAGCAGCTGTGGGGAGGCGTGCGGGGAGGGGGCGGTCAGGTTGCAACGGGCACGGGAGGGACCCCGGGCGTGGGGACGGCTCCGCGGCGCACTGACTGTGACGGTGGCCGCAGGAACCCACGTGGAGACGTCACGTGGAACGTAACAGGAGCCCACTGTGCGCGTGCGTGCACTCGTGGCTCCAAGGCAGACGGGGAGCCGCCGTCGCGTGGGCAGGCTGGGTGGTGTCAATGTCCCGGCTGCGATGTTGTGCTGTCGTTGGTTCCGGGGAGAGGCCCGAGCCAGGAGCTCCTCCACGGCCCCCGCCCCCCGCCCCCGAGCTTGTTCCTCGGTTCTTGTCTCGCCCCAAGAGACGAACTCAGAGGAAATGGGATGCACGTTTATCTACGAAACACACACGCGCACAGAGCTGCAAGCGAGCACCCGCTAATCTGAGTGCGCCGACTGTCGGGTTCAGGGGTTATTTACTTGAGTCAGCTTTTAGGTGCCCTCCTTCTCCCCTTCTAAACCTTGGGACTAATGTACAACTACAAGGGCTTTCTCTCTCACCTGTAAAGGCTGTCCGTCTCGGTGAGTGAAATTCCTGCAGAAGCCCCCCTTCCCAGCAGAGCCCGGGGGACCCTGCTCCTCCTCTGCTGTCCCTGCTCATGACATCCGGCGCCGACACTCCTATCGGACGGGGCTCAGGGCCGCCGAGTCAGCCGGTGGGACGCGCCCCCTCCCCTGCGCTGCCTGAGTTTACTGCCTGTCCTGCCTAACAGTTCCATCCGTGTGCAAGGGCCAGGATCTCTGTGTTGGGGCCTGCGATCCTCTCAGGAGCAAGTCCGACTGCAAGACGAGAAGTAGCCGTGGCCCACAGCCTGGGAACCGTGGGTGGATGGGAGCCAGGGTCGCGACGCGGTCGCCCGCAGGGAGGGTGCCGGCTGAGAAAATGAGGGCGCCCAGCCCAGAAGGCAGGGGACACTGGCACTTAGAACGCGGGGGAGGAGGCGGGGGAAGGCGCCGCGGGGGGCTGGGAGCACAGTCTGAGAGGGGCAAGGCCAGGAGTGGGGGTTCGCCGGTGCTGGGCAGCGGGAGGTGGCTACTGGGTGGACGCCCTGCGGCGACACGCGTGTGCTCAGCTGCGGGGAGAGAGGCGCCTTGGGCCAGGAGCTGGAATGCCCGCGTGGGGTGTTAGAGAAGACGCAGCGAGAGATTTTAGGACAAGGTGGAACCGCCTGGAAGCCACACTGAGGCCGGGGGCGGCGGTGGGGTGCAGCCGCGCTCCTGGGCGGGGAGGTGGGGACGCCAGCCAGTTAGGAGGCCCGAGAGTGGATGTGCGTGGATGTGCGGTTGGGAGGGAGAAGAGGCCGGGGGGGACGGGAGCAGCAGGGCCAGCGAGGGGCAGCACACGGGCTTGGGGTCTGGGGTGAGCGGAGGCCTCGCGGGTGGGCTGAGGACCGAGCCAGCAGGCTGCGGGCTCCGTGGGGCGGGCGCTCTTCCTCCCGGCTTCCCTCCCGCCTTCCCTCCCGTCCGCAGCTGCCCTGTGCCTCCCGCGTGTCTCCCTGGCATCCCGGGCCCGGGGTCTGCAGTGAACAAACGCGAGCTCCGCCCTGACCCTGGAGGCGGAGGGTGACGGGAGCACCGCCCTGCTTCCCGCCTTCTGGGCTCGACCGTGTGTCCCCCGGGAGCTGCCGCGCTCTGTGCTGCTGCTGCTGCTGGTCTCCCCACCCTCCCCGCCACCCCGGGGAGCGCAGTTCCCCTCTGCCCCGCGGCCCCTGCTGAGCCGGGCCCGACTGACCACGCTGCCCGACCTGCTCGCCACAGGCGACACTTGTTAATGTCGTCCATCACAGCGGGTGCCTGTGTGTGTGCGTGCGCGCGCGTGTGTGTGTGTGTGTGTACACCTCTGTCGCAGCGGTGTCCTCCCCACCCTGGCCGTAGGGTGACCTTCGGTAAATGTTGATGACATGTCAAGTAAAGAACTGTAATAACAAGGATTCTCTACACCTGTAGTTTGTCCCCAGAGAAAGCGTGGTGGTTTTCGGTCAGTCCGTAGAAGCTTCCCGAGGGCGGTTACCTGGATGTGGCCCAGGTCACGTCACAGGTGACCCCTCGATAGGAACATCGAGGGGGCGCCTGACAGTTCTTTAGACGTTTGAGCCCATCCGAGGCCACGTTAACACGTCACTTCCCTTCGCTGTCGCTGAGCCGTGCCCATTTTAGAATCGGGGAACCTCCCCCGGCTGCGAGCTCACAGGCCGGGACCAGGGGAAGCGTAAACTCTGCTGTCCCCATTTCCTAATTCCCCTGCTGCCCTGCAGGGCTCTGCGGGCGCAAGGTCCCCGCCAAGGATGGCAGAGAGGTTCAGAGTTCCGATGGGGAGGGGCACTGGGCTGCGGCCGCGCCTCCCGCATTCGGGAGGCAGGGCTCCTGAAGGGTGCGTCTAACTTCAGCCCGAGACAAGCTGGGGATAGCGCCGTGGTTTTCAAACCCTGGGGCTGCAGAGTGGTCAGCCTGGAAACGCGCCGACCGCGCTGCCCGGTCCTGGGGGTGGGGAACTGCCGTGGCGCCGCGAGCGACTCCGGAGCACGGGGTGTGTCCCCCTTGGGGGCCGCCGTGCCAGCGCGTCCAGCCTGGCTCCGGGGCAGGAGGTCCGCTAGGGCAAGCGCAGTGACGTCAGTGTCGGCCTTGTCCTCCTCGGTCATCAGTCAGGGGTCAAATGGCCCTGTGAAGAGCTCTCCTCTGCTCTTTTCAGAAGCTGCTGCTGAAGCGCGCGCTGACCCTTGTGCTGCGGTGGGGCTTCAGCCACAACTTCAGCGTCCGCCTCTACGCGCTGGTGGCCCTGAAGAAAATCTGGGGCATGTGTAAGAGGTGGCAGGTGGAAGAACTGGAGGCTTTGACGCCTGTGATCGAATCCAGCCTCAACCAAGTGGAGAACATGCACGGAGCAGGGTAAGGACCCGTGGCCGGCAGTGTCCTCCCAGTGGCGCAGAGGGCGGTGGGGAGCAGGCGCCCCGTCTCAGCTCCTTGGGACGTCACGCGGGCGCGCAGAGCCGGGCAAGGCTGAGCTGAGGCGGCCCCTGTGCGGCGTGCGGCGTGCTCACAGTTCGGATGGCTGGCGGCTCCACGCTGACCTCCTGGAACACGGCTGCTGTGGATGGGCCGGGAGCGGCGCGTGACCCAGTGCCTCACAAAGCCCCTTCTGTCGGGGGGTTGCCGCACCCGCAGGCCCTGGTGTCCTGGTGTCTGGACTGCCTGCCTCGAACCGAAGGTGGTGGTGGTTTATTTCACCGTTAGTACTGATTGTCACCATCCAGGAATGCCAGATTTTATACATTGCAGAGACCCAGGCGGTAGGAATCCCCTAAAAGGTTTTCCTTAGCATGTTCAAAAGCACTTACTAACTTACACAAACTAACAGGCAGAGGTCGGCAGCAGCGTGACCGGCACACTAGAGAGTGTTTGGAGAATCAGAGGCGCCCTGTTGTCGGTCTTTGCCTTGACCCTCAATTAGCGCACGGCACAAACAGGACCCTCTGCAAGTCGTGGCCCAGCCTCGTGTGGTGCCACGGCTGAAGGATCTCCGTGGCCACGCACTGTGGCCCTCTATCCACCTTACTGTTGTTTTTTTTTTTTTTAAGATTTTATTTATTTTTAGAGAGAGGGGAAGGGAGGAAGAAAGGCAGAGAAACATCAATGAGAGAGAAATCGTTCAATTGCCTCTCATATGCGTCCTGACTGGGGACTGAACCCGCAACCCAGGCATGTGTCCTGACCGGGAATTGAACCGGCCTTTTGTTTCGTAGGATGATGCCCACTGAGCCACATCCATCAGGGCCCACCTTACTTTTTGCTACATTTGTGGAAAAGAGGCATTTGGGTGATGAGTGGGTAGGAGGTTTGTGGGCTCAGGAGAAAGATACTCAGTTCAGCAAACAGATCTTAAAATACAGTTGCATGCGACAAACGGGCGGCGACTAGAAGGAGAAGCGTGTTAGGTGGGGGGACAGGACAAGGTAGAGACGGGGGATGGGGCGCAGGGAGGGGCGAGCTGCTCTGGCATGTCATGCAGAGTGTGGGAAACAGCCTCGCCTGCGGGTCCCAACAAAGTCATTGTGGTCAGCAATTCCTTGTGGCGTTGCCTACAACTCCTGGCTTCCCTGGCGTATTCCGGCAACTGGAACTCTGGACCTTTTTCAACTGACCTTAAACATCTCCTTCCTTCTCGGTTTGTGGAGTGTACACACTGGTCATTTCCTACATTTGGTGAATGCTTGGCTGAATCTACAAGAGTAGGTTTGGACATTAATATTTTTCTGGCTAGCATTTGTATTATGTAGTAAGTCACACTCAAACTGCAAAAGCTGTTCCTAATCGTACTTTGATGCACAATTTAATGAAATCGTATTACTATTTTAATAGGACACACTCCTCCCTCTGAATGGCGCGCAACTTGGTTGGAGTGAGGGCTCAGGAACGAGCCACGGGCCGCGGCTGGCCTTTCCTCGGGGACGGGGGGAGGTGGTTCGGGGGCCTTGGCGGAGCTCCTCCTGGCAGGTCGGGCTGGTGTGTCCGGTGTGCAGTTTTCTCTGGGACCAAATCGTGACTTACTGTTTGGTGCTGAGGTGTTTTGGTTGGTGATCATGCTCAAAATTCTTGGTAGCTGTGTTTTGATTTCTAAAAACAATGAGCTCAGCCCGTATTTTTTATTAAGCAATAAAACACTCTTTTGAGAAATAACATGTTCTTCTTAAAATCCTAGTACCAGGTCGGAGAGAGAACCAGCAGGAATAGGGAAGGCCAGCGGGAGGCAGCTCCCAACACCCAGGCCCCAGCGTCGGCTCTGTGACAGCGCAGGCCGGGGCCGGGGGCCGGGGGCCAGCGGCAGGCAGGCGGGTGGCGTTCCTGTCTTCGTGGAGTTCAGTCAGGTGGAGACGGACACCAAATGAATAATTGCTCCCGTTAAAACAAGGTCTGAATCATGGCCAGTCCTGTGGTGGGCTGTGCCGGGAGCGTAGTGTTGACTCTGGTTTGGTTTAAGCTGCGGTCGGCAGGGTGAGCAGGAAGCAGGCAGGTGCAGAGTGGAGGAAGTGACTTCCGGGTAAAAGAGAGTGTTGGGGACCTCTGGAGGCGGGGGTGCGGCTGTGCACCCAGGGGACAGACAAGGAGGCGACTGAGGGGGGCAGGGCAGCCGCAGCCCTGGCTGGGAGGGGCGGGGCAGGTCGCGGGGGGCTTCTGGGCAGCGAACTGGGGAGCCCTCCCAGTTCAGGCTCCAGAGGGACGTCACCCAGTTCGCTTGTGCAGCTTCGAAGGTGTGAGGAGCGGCCAGGGGCAGGCAGGAGGGGAGCAGGGCTGTGGGCTGGGTCCGTGTGGGGCCAGCGCACAGGCTGGAGGGACTGCGGAGTAAGAGCTAGAGACACCACGGGACCTGGGGCCACTCCAGTGCCTCTGCTGGGCAGGACCAAGTTAACATGAGGCAAAGTGGCGGGACCACATGTTCTTGCTTGCCAAGTCCTGTGACAGGCTCCTTGATGTCTATTTTCTTTTTCAATATTTGAAATAATTCATGTCTTTAATTTTTTAAAAAATGGGTGATGAGGAAGGTAGACACAGCCAAGCTGTGCAGGTAATTCTCTAACCACGTCTCTGTAAAGCGTAGGAAGAACCGTAGTTGGTGGCGGATAGGCTGTCCAAGGAGGGCTTTAGCTTTATTTTCAATAAGCTTAGCGTTTAAGTAGGTGTCAGGGAACTGAGCGGTGCAGACAGGTGCCCCTGGGAGCAAAACAGTCTGCTGCCCTCCTCTTCTCCCCCAGAGCTGTTCCTCCCGGAAACGGGGTTCTCCATTATCTCTTCCGGTGTGTGCCTGTGCCCCCTTACCTCCTGAGTCCCTGCCCACAGGCGCTGGGGGCTGGGGGCAAGGCGAGGGGGACGCGAAACTATGGGAGGAGGGGCCTAGGGCACACCCGGGGCACTGGCCTTTAAGGAGACTGGAGAGCAAAGGGAAAGGCGGACAGGTGGGGGGCGGGGGGGCAGGTCTCTGTCCCTCACCCTGAGAGGCGGGAGGGGCGGCTGTCCGCTCTGCTGCCGGGCAGGGCAGCCGCCGGGGGCTGGGTACTCTGGGGAGTGAGGGTGTGAGGGCCCAGGGCGTGGCCTTGCCCGACGCCGCCTGGGCTTGCTCACACAGCTCCTGGCCTGTCGGTTGTGAATTTAAACTGAAGCCTGCCAGGCATGTTGTAGTATTTTCATCCTTGCCTCTTTTGCCTTTTAAAATATGACAGATGGGTTAAGAATTCAAGACCCGATCATATTCAATTGGTTTATGAAAGTTGCTAAGTTTGGCTATGCATTGTGAATTTTCAGAGTAGAAAAAGGGAATCACATGATGGTTTTCTCTCCTAAAAAAGTCTTTCCTGCCAGATCCTAAGGATTCCACCCCAGAGCTCTTACAGAGCTCCCTTTTAGAATTCCATTCCCTGGCAGTTAAGCGGTCTGCCTGGCAGGCCGTTGCCGCGCTTTCCTGTCATTGTCTGTTGACCATCGGCGTTGGACGGAACCCAGGCCTCTGCCCACCCTGCTAGGTTGAGCCCCGCACTTTACATGCAGACCTGGGTCACATTCTTATCGAAGCATTATTTGTTGTATGACTTTGAGTTATTTGCCTGTTTTTGTGTTTCATTTTAAAAGACCAGTGTAGTGTCAGTTTTTAAAGTATATTGATCTTGGTACAAATCTCAGGATAAAATTCACAATATTTTCCATTTGTTCTAAATTCTGCAGTACCTCCGTAAGACACCTGACTTTCCCCCCTTCTCTGCACCTCATTCTGTATCCTCAATCCTTAGGAACGCCAAGAAGAATTGGCAACGCATCCAAGACCATTTCTTTTTTGCGACCTTTCACCCACTCGAGGATTACTGCCTGGAGGTGAGCCGAGACTGTCATGTGGAAATTCTCTCCTGCATCATTTACCTCGAAGCTCCCTTTTTGCCATAGTCGTTGAAGGGTTATGATTAGCCTAACTTTCCCCTTGCTTGCAAACTTCACCGTAACCCTGTCAAGTTGTAAGTTCAGTTTTGTCACTTTATGCAGATGACTTGCTTGCATTTCACTCTTGAGCAGTGACAACTGGCTGGTCATTTTCACTCTGTTTATCAGGCAGGGTCAGGCTTGTAGACCCTGGAAGGGGGAATGTTTAACTCTGAACAGAAATCTGTTCTGACATTAAAAGGAAGTGAGTGAGAACATTTGTGCAGCTGAGATTTTTGTTGTAATGAAGCCTGTTGTTAACAAAAGAACAAAAAGATCTACTTTTTTGTTAATTGCCTTTCTAGGTTCTGGGCGACTGAAATTGTATAGCAAATGATACACCACTTACCGAATGTGCTTATGTAATTTTAAGAACTATAAAAATGATTATTACAACTAGCATGTAAGTCAATTAACTTCAGATCTAAAGTACTAAAATTTGTAGAAAGTGTGTTACTTTCTCCCTTTGAGCTAAAACATTTGACCTTGTTCTTTTCTTCTAAAGAACTCGGAAGTATCAGTATCTTCAGCTGCTGTGCACAAATGAATTACTTTGGTGGATTACTAATAGGCTGGCCTTTAAAAATACAGATATGTATATTGTGAGATGTTCATCCTAGAACATTACTGTGCACTTTCTGTTGCTTCATCTCAAACACTGTGTAAGATTTTTCAGACACTCGAACATGCTCTGTTTCGTGGCCTGCAGCGCCCAGAACCCTTTTCTTGACATTTTTCTGCAGGACCTCTCGTTGCCCTCTAGCGTTAGGTCAGCCTCTCCGCTCAGGTTTCCAGCAGGAGGGAGCCCCTTGCTTTCCTCCTTCCCACCCTGGCCCCACTCTCACGTTTTGCTGATTTTATTCTTTATTCGTGATATGAATCGCAGCTACATGTGTAAATAAAATCATGCTGCACAAGAACTCTCTTTATACATGTGTACCTATATTAGTACCTATTAAAAGATCTAGTTGCAATCATATGCTCATTTAAATTTACACAGATATTGTACGAAGAAAACCATGTTCATTCATATTCATTCTAAAGACTTATATGAAGACTTACATGTTGTTCTAAATTTGTTTCATTTTAAAATCTCTTGTCACTTGTGCTTCTGCTTCTTATGTGCCTGCTCAGCTTTGGAGACTCTTGTTCTCAGTCCTCATAGGTAAGAAAGCAAGCATCGTTTATGTGATGGCTCAATAGTTGTTGTTTGTTGTGGTGTCACATTGGGTAGTTTACCACACACTTTTCTTCACGTGCTATTTTAACCTGAGTTTATCCACACTTCGCAAGTGGTGACGTTGAAGCCAAGAAAGGCTAAATGGCTTCAATTTCGAGTGAAGATTTGGCATCAAAAGAGCTTGAACTTGAGCACTAATGGAGAAGGTGGTGATCCATAAGTAGCATTTTTCCAAATGCTGTCCCATATCAGTACTGATTCCAAACACGTTTTGCTTCCGTGAGGGCAGAGTCGTTTACTGCATACACTTGGGGACAGCAGAGGGAGCAGCCTGCTCTCGAGGTCTCCAAAATTAAGCCCCTGGTTTCTTAGGAAAGATGGTGTGTTTATATAGACAGTTGCTACAAGATAGAAAGTGTGTAATTTGATCAGATATGATAGTTTGGGAATCTACATTAGTATAGTAATAAGTTGTGCTTTAAACATGTATTTCTTTGTTACTCTTAAGAGAAAAAAATTTAGATTTTACCATTTTCTTTTCAGACCATATTTCACATCCTTCCGCGCCTCTCAGGCCTTGTTGAGGACGAGTGGATCGCCATAGAGAAATTCACCAGGTTCACTGACCTTCCTTCAGCTGCTGGACTTCAGGGCTACCATTGTCCAACTCAGCTTCATGAACTCAAACCAGGTGACTGGGCTCAGCAGGACATAGGTACAAAGAGTTTTTGTTTTATTTTCCCTGTTGTTGACTTGCTCAGACTTACTGATTTAAGTTACTTAGAGGTGGTTGGTGATACCACTTTTTCATTGACATGGTGAACTCTGCTTCTCCACTTAGAAGACAGTGGCAAAGCGCGGTATGGTTTTGACTGGTACTTGTAGGTGACCGTTGGCTTTGCCATAAAAAGCCAGAGAGAGCCTGATCAGCTTCACCATGTAAAGCTAGTGGCGTCTCTTTTCTTTGAAATATTGTTAATTAATATCCATTGCTTTTCCACTATATATTTCTGTCAAGGATTTTAAAATTCAGAAATATATTTCTGCAGAAAATTCTAATTTAATGCATTATTGTTTGTAAGATACACATTATTTTATGTACATGTACAAAAAAATACTAGCAAACTATGACAGCCAATGGATTCTAAGATGCTTCTCAATTTTGGAGATACTAAAGTGTAAAAAACAAAGTGTGTCTAATAAATAGTATCTGATGTTTCTATGAGATATTATAATACATTGGTTAGTAGAGTTGAATTTGAAAACTTAAAAACTCACTTTTGAAATGGCAATTGTGTCTGAATCTAAGTCAAATTCTTTAGTTAATGAACCTGATCCTATCATTTTAAACTTATAAAATATATAAATAAAATATATATAACATATACAATATGTGAGAGAGAGATTGGCTTATATTTAGAATTGTTGTTTTCCTTACCAGGCTCTAACTCAAGTGAAGCGGACAACCAATCCGAGTGGACTGATGTTCAGAAGAAGATAATCCCGTGGAAAAATAATGCTCCTGATTTAGACCTGGAGCTAGTATTTCAGGATCGTGCTTCCAAGCTTGGGAAGTCCATCGGCAGACTGATTGTAGTGGCCTCACTCATTGATAAACCAACCAATTTAGGAGGTAAAATTGTGGTACTCCAGGGTGCACCGCCATGTTTGGCTGTCTTCCACATGCAACCCTCCTGGGACACTCCAGAGGGCTGTATGGGATGTAATGTGCTCAGCCTTGTGCTGAGGACAGTGACTCTAGCTTGTTCTGTGCAGGACTGTGTCGCACCTGCGAGGTATTTGGGGCCTCGGTGCTGGTCGTCGGCAACCTTCAATGTGTCAACGACAAGCAGTTCCAGCACCTCAGTGTCTCAGCGGAACAGTGGCTTCCTTTAGTGGAGGTGGGTGGAAAGTGATTTGTTATTAAAAATGTTATTTGCCAAACTCTCCATCTTCCTGGAGCAGTTCATTTGCAGTGATTTATAGTAGTCCAGCCTTTAAGAGCTCAAAAATAAGTAAGGAAAATACAATCAAACTCTGTCCTCCTATTCCTTTATCTTTCACATGGCTGTGTGTTTAGAAATCAGTCATGTGCAATCCTTTTCAATAAGTAAAACGTGTCCTGCTGCAACTCACTGTTGATGTAGGAATAATTTTTATAAATTTCTATGATGTTGGGGGAGTTCTTGTTTATGTGTAATTCTATCCTTTACTTTTTAAGACTTTTAAGCAAGCTTAGTTTAATGAAAGTTTTTTTCAACTGATTTTACTCCGAGCAGGACTATTACTGATTTAACATTCTGCTCTTTTAAAATGATGAAGGTGAAGCCCCCTCAGCTGATAGATTACCTGCAGCAGAAGAAAGCACAGGGCTACACGGCCATCGGCGCGGAGCAGACTGCCAGGAGTGTGGGCCTGACCCAGTACTGCTTTCCTGAGAAGTCCCTGCTGCTGCTGGGGTGAGGAGTTCTCGGAGGACAGTGGCTCCTCTCAGTCTCAGCCTAGAAAATGTTTCCGATTTTAGTTGACCTGGACTCCCCATACTACTTGACCTTTGATTTGCTATGTTCGTGGAAAGCCCCCTACTTTCATTTGATTCTACCTGTTTGGGATGGTCAGGTGAACAGAGAATTAACCCCTAAATCCTTTTTTATCCTCTTATTTTCCTGGTAATTTAGAATTTATTTTGTTAAATCTCTCTCTTCCAGTAACATTCAGAATACTTGAGGAAAACACTACTCATCTCAAGAAAAGTAACCTTTCTTTTCCCATTTTTCATCAGAAATGAACGTGAGGGAATCCCAGCAAATCTGATCCAGCAATTGGATGTCTGTGTGGAAATTCCTCAACAGGGCATCATCCGTTCGCTTAACGTGCACGTGAGTGGAGCGCTGCTGATCTGGGAATACACCCGACAGCAGCTCCGGAGGCACGCGGGCACGCAGCCGTGAGGGCCACGCCTTTTCTGGGATGTTATTGGTGCTATTGCCACATTTTTTTTTTTAAAAGAAACTATTTGGATTAATGAAACAGATTGTGAATTTACTGGGATAATTTGTATATTTTCTTACAATTTAATGCCAAACTTTTTCATGTGCCTTAAGTATATTATGTATTGTCCTCTTTAAACATTAAATTGTATAGCTCCTTTAGTAAAATGTTTTAAGCAATTGTGAAAATAAAAAATACGTATTTTCAGAACATCTTCTCTTTCCTAGAAATTAGCGTTGTCAGAAGTGTGCTGTGGAGTGTGGCAGTTCACGTCGGCTGACGTCAGTGACCGCCGTCTCCTCATGGCACAAGGGAGCAAGGGTGCTGTGTGAAGAAGGGCCCTTGGCCTTTGTGCAGCTCTGCCCACTTACTGTCAGGGGGCGCGGGCCTGGCACGGTGCTGAGCCAGCTTCCCTAGAAAGTTCATAATGCTCAGGTGATAGGCTTTAACTTATTTTTAAAGCCAGGAACTAGATCATAATCATTCATACGAAGTTTTTAAATGAAATGTTCCTGTGCCACCTTTGCTCAGAGTTCAGTGGTGGTTAGAAAGAGTCTGATGGCTGCCAATATGGACCTGAAGGAGGTGACTTCCTCTTGCATATCATGGAACCCGTGACAGTTGAGACTAACTGCTCTGTTGTGACTTTTTTTGTTTGATGTTGGGATTACTTCATTATTTAATGAATGGTAACTATCAGCACCTAGCAGTGCATTTCAATTGTGTCTGGGTCCTTTTTATTAATATTTAAATTTCAGAGTTCGTTATCTGTATTTTTTTTCTTCTGTAGCTTTACTGATATAATTTTCAATTTGCCGAAGAGTTGCAAAGATAGTACATAGTTCCCCGGTGGCTCTAATAGGGCCTTACAGAACCATGGACGTGGATCTTTATCAGAACTAAGGCATTAACACGTAACGGTGCGTTCGCTGGACTACAAAACATGTCTATGCAGGCGTCTGCTCTCCCACTGATACCCTCTCCCAGCCCCAGAGGCTTCCAGTCCTTCGTTGTGCGTCACGACCCTGACACTTCTGAATGTGGCTCCAGTACCACCAGAGCCCCACCCTTTGGGTTTGTCCGGTGCGTTCCCACGCTCAGACCGACGCTGCAGCCTTGGACAGGTGCTCCCCCACGGTCCCGCCCTCAGTGCCACTGCCAACAGCTTGTCACCTTGCCTACCCCTTTCCCCATTCCCAATTACTAGCAACCATGGACCCGCCTCCTATACTCGTTCTGCCTTTTCCAGAATCGTAAATGGAAGCAGGTAACACATAGCCTTTGGGGTCTGGCTTCTTTCACGTAGCAAAATTCATTTAAGGTCCACCTGTGTTATTGGGTGACTCAGCTGCTTGTTTCTTATTGCTGCATGGTATCGTATAAATGTACCACAGTTCATCTGTTCCTCTGTTGCAGGCACCCGGGTTGTTTCCAGTTTTGGGCAATTAGGAATACTGTTAGGAACATTCACATACAGGTTTTGGTTTCAATTCATTTGGTGAAATACCTAGGAGTGGGACTGCTGGGTCATAAGGCAAACATGTTTATAAAAAACCTCCCAACTGTTTTCCAAAGGGGCTTCAACATTTTGCATTCCCCCCAGGGTGGAGTGAGTTTCTGTTGCTGTGCATCTTCATCAGCCCTTGGTATTGTCAACTTTTAATTCATCCTAGTAGGCATGTAGTGATAGATGATCATGGTTTTAATGTGCAGTACTCTACTAATAGTATGAAGCATCTTTGCATAATACTTAATACTGGTTATTACAACATGATGCCCATTTTTTTAACTTGGGTGATTTGGTTTTTTAAGTGTTTTAAGAGTTCTTTATTCTGGATACAAGTTCTTTTTGTTATGTGATTTGCAAATATTTTCTCCCACTCTGTGATTTTTTTATTCTCTTAGAATCTTTCACAGAGCAAAAAGTTTTAATTTTGATAAACCCCAATGCAGCTTTTTTCCCTTTATGGATTTTGCTTTTGATATTCTGAAAATTCATTTTCAAACCTGAAATCATGCAGTTTCTCCACATTTTCTTCTAGAAGTTTTATAGTTTTATATTTAAGTCTATAATCCATTTTTTAAAAAATAAGGTGTGACATATATGTCAAGGTTCATTTTGTCGTGTATAGACATCCAATTTTCGACCATTTGTTGAAAAGCTTGTCCTTTCTCCATTCAGTTGCCTTTACCTTTGTGTTCACGCCAACTCTCTGTGTGGGTATGAAGCTGGACTCCGTCCTGGTCTACAGAACTCCATGTCTGTCCTTTGGCCAACACCATACCGTCTTGATTCGGTAGTAATCACATAATGTAAATCCTCCAACTCTGTTCTTTTCAGAACCACTTTGGTGCTTTTAGGTACTTTGCTTGTTCATATAAATTTTAGAATCAGGTTGTTACTAGTCCTTATCTACAAAAAAAAGCTTGTTAGGTTTGATTGGGATTGCATTCACCGCAGAGAACAAAATGAGAATTTAACAATATCTTCACAATAGTGAGTCATCTAATCCATGAACATAGTATGTATTGCCAATTTACTAGACATTGTCTGATATCAACTGTTTGTTTTTATAGGTGTGGAACATTGTAAGCTGTATACCTATGTATTCCTTTTAAAAATTTTTTTAGTGTTACTGTAACTGATATATTTTTTTAAAATTCCCATTGTTCATTGCTAGCACACAAGAATATGATTTTCCTTTGTATTCTGACCTTGTATCCTGCCACTTTTTAAGACTTATTAGTTTTTTTTTGTTGAATTGGGGGGATTCTCTTTAGAAATAACACTGTCATCTATGAATAGAGTCGGTTTTATTTCATCCTTTCCAATTTGCATGCTTTTTATTTCTTTGTCTTAGTGAAGTAACTAGGAAACCAATACAGTGGTGAACAGGAGAAGTGACAGAGGACATCCTTACCTTGTTACTGATTCCTTTTTGTGCAAGGGAGACATTCATTGTGTCATTGTTGAGTATATTAGCTAAGTTTTTAATAGATGGTCTCCATTGTTTTACCCGTATATTTAAAGTTCTTCCAATCATTTTTCTTTTTGTGCCAGTATTAAAATGGTAACTACTAGGACACATAATGACAACCTATTTTTTCCAGTATCTATAGTAATATTTCCCTACTCCCATCCTCCAACAAAAAAACAATAGGTACTTTTTAAATAATAGGCTTTAATTTTTTTCTTAAAATACTGACTTCTCACTAAACGAACACAGATCTTATTTCATACGATTGTATTTTATGTCACTTCTTCACAGTCTGAGCGACGGGCTCTCCGGCGCTGTGATCGCTTCAGTTGTCAGCTGTGCAGAGGTAGGTGGCACTGGTGTTTGCCATGGTTCAAACCACCATGGTCCCGCAATCAACTGGGGCATGTTTGAATGTCCAGAGAGAACGCGTCTACCTCTCTGAAAAGGTCAGGAACAGCTTATGACTTTGCAGTTGATTTTGAAGGCTGGAATTGTCCTGCTTCAAATTTTTCTTTAAATTTTAAGTAGTCTCTTCTTTTATCAAAATATTTTATCTGTTGAGGAAAAAAAAAGGATTTGAAATAGGACAAGTTATGCAGCTTAGATAGGTGAAAGTACAGATTTAAATGTAACACATTATTCAACAGAAATTGCATAAGTAGTATAAGTCATTTACATTGCGGAACCATTTCAAATCAGTGCATTTGATGTATGAAAGTCTTGGACATGGGTGTAGACCAGTAAGTCATTAGCTCATTTGGATTACAGATTCTGTTGAACACTTGAATAAGCCATGCATCTTCTTAAGAAACATAATCGAAATCAAACAGAAAATAAATAACTACCTTGAGACAAGTGAGAATGAAAACATGACTTTTCAAAATGTATGGATGCAGCAACAGCAGTTCTAAGAGGGAAGTTTATAGCTATCCAGGCCCATCTCAAGAAAAATCCCAAATAAACTAAGTCTACAGTTAAAAGAACTAAAAAAGAACAAAACTCAAAATAAATAGAAGGAAATAATTAAGACCAGAGCAGAAATAAACAACATAGAAATAAGAAAAGAAAGATCAAAGAAACTAAGAGCTAGTTCTTTGAAAAGATAAACAAAATTGACATACCTTTAGCCAAACTCATCAGGAAAAAAGAGCCCAAATAGATAAAATCATAAATGAAAGAAGTTCCAACCAACACCACAGAAATATTAAGAAATCATTAAAGAATATTATGCCAACAAATTCTGTTTAGAATAAATTTCTAGGAGCTTATAACCTTGTAAGACTGAACCAGGAAAAAATGGAAAATCTGAACAGAAATTAATAGAAAATCTGCCAACACACGTTACTAGTAATGAAACTGAAGCAGTAATCAGAAAACTACCAAAAAACAAAAATCCAGGACCAGATAACTTCAAAGGTGAATTCTACCAAACATTTAAGGGAGAATTAATGCCTATGCTCTTAAACTGTTTCAAAAAATCATAGAAGAAAGAACGCTTGCAAATTCACTCTATGAAGCCAGTACTGCTCGGACACCAAAACCAGACAAAGACATTACAAAAGAAAGAAAATTACAGGCCAATATCCTTGATGCAAAAATTCTCAAAATATTAGCAAATAGGATTCAATAGTACAAAGCATTTTCTGGAAAAATAGTAAATATAAATATTTATATAATCTTAAAGAAAGCATAGAGGTAAAGAATAATAAACTTAATGAAAAGTAAATTCTCTATATTTAAAAAGAACGGTTATTTTTCCAAAGAGGACAGAGATGGCCAGCAGGTATATGAAAGGTAGTCAACATCACTAATCATCAGAAAAGTGCAAATGAAAACCACAGGGAGCTATCACCTCACACCTGTCAGAATGACTATCAATAAATCCATAAACAACAAGTGCTGGCGAGGATGTGGAGCAAAGGGAGCCCTCGTGCACTGCTGGTGGGAGTGCAGACTGGAGCAGACATTGTGGAGAGCAGTGTGGAATTACCTCAAAAAAATTAATAGAACTGCCTTATGACCCAGCAATTCCACTTATGGGTATTTATCCAAATAAAATGAAAACACTAACTCAAAAAACTATATGCACCCCTATGTCCATTGCAGCATTATTTACAACAGCTACGGTAAGGGGAGCAGCCTGGGCGTCCATCGACAGACCCGTGGATAGAGGAGGAGTTAGTACTCCCTATACACAGCGGGGTATTACTCAGCAGTAAGAACATGAAATCTTGCCATTTGCAACAACGTGGGTGGGCCCAGAGGGCATTAGGCGGAGTGAAATAAGTCACACAGAACTACTGTATGATTTCACTTACGTGTGGAATTTTAAAAACAAAACAGATGCATTAGCAAAGCAAGACATAAACGGACCCCCAGCACAGAGAACAAGCTGATGGTTGCGGAGGGGTGGGGGGGGGCGGGAGGGGGACGGGTGAGTTTAAAAATAGAGAATCTGAAGTACTGTAAAGCCCCACACCCTGAAGCAGCACAACCCCAGCGGCAGGAAATCGAGGCCAGTCAGAGCCCGCAGTGTCGGACCCTGAGCTGCTCTGCAGACGCGGCAAAGGCAGGACACCGCGCGTTTTCCCTGTCAGAATAGAAAACACTAGTTCTTTTGTTCGAAGCTTTTCTTAGGATTAAATCTGAAATATTTCAGCGGTGCCCCAGGAAGTGAAAACTAGCTCAGACTGAGGTGCAGGCACCCGCCCGCCCCCGTGTCACGCTGGGATGAGACACAGGCAGAGCAGTGCAGAGCGGCTGTGGCCCTTCCTAAGGGGCCCTTTGAGAGCCTGCGCCTTGTCGTTCGCCGAGAAACCCTGCTCTCTCCCCGTCGCAGACCATGGCAACTCCGCTCCTTGAAGACTCAGCAGGGAGAGTGGGAGACAGGCTCCGGCCAGGAGGCCCGACACAGCCGCCCGACGGCGGCCCTGGGCTCCCCCAGGGGTCTCTGCAGGGCGCGCGTGCAGCTCGCCCCTCTGCGGGGTCCCGCACCCACTTCTCACCTGGGCTGACGAGGGCCTGCTCTGCACAGCCCCGTTCTGCTCTGAGCCCATCGCAGACCCCTAGGCTTCCGGGTCGCCTCGGCTCCAGCCGCCCCCATCCCTGGTCGCCTCCGCGTTGCCGGGTGGGAGGCCCCCAGTCGCTCGGGTGTGCGGTCTCCCTGGCTGCGGCACGTTAACAAACCCGACGGCCGGCAGCGGATTTCTGGAGGTCTCAGGCAGCCGCGGGTGGGGCGGCTGTCACAGGTAAGGGACACCACAGGAGCAGTACGCAATGTCTTAACCCTGTGGCAAGCAGCAGATCTCTGCATTTCCGATCCCATCTCCAACGGCCTAATGGGCACTTCCACTTAGAGGTCCTGTCGACATTTCAGTCCCAGCTTGTCCACGGCTGAGCTGCTCCCCGCACGCATTTCCTCTCGAGGACCTACCTCGGCGGCTGCGGCACTGGCCACCCCGACACTTGTCTCTCTCCCCCCTCTCGGCCCCGGGGCACAGGCCCTCACCTCACACTGGGATTGCTGCCGGCCGCTGGGTCTCCCTGAGGTGGGAGCGCGGGAGGACAGGCCCGCCGGGGAGGTCAAGTCCTGTCCATGCAGAGGCTGCTCCCTGCGAACACGCAGACCCTCAGCAGGTGCTTGTGGGGGTGGAGGAGGGGCCAGGCTGCCGGTGCAGGTGCGGGCATCCACCTCAGGCCAAGGCTGGAGACAAGACTGGCGGGGACCTGGGGGTGGCGCAGAAGGGACTCCAGAGAGCGCTGGCGTTTACCAGACCGACAGGAAGGCACTCCCAGGAGCAGCGGCTGCTGGAGACGGGGAAGACGGGGGGAGTGAGCTCTATGGGGACCCAGGAGACAGGCTTCTGTGTGTAAACAGACTCAAAGTACGACTACGTTTCTGGAACATGAGGCTGGTGCAGGCTGCTTTCATAGGCCCTTTTCTCACATGACTGTGCAGGAAGAAGCGTGTGGAGCAGGGATAGCACACGGTCTGGACCCAGACTGTGAGCTCAAATCCAGGCTCTGCACTTACACGTGACTGTGCCCTTGTCTCCACAGCCGAGCAACCGTTACTGTGACGAGTACATGAGATAGAGCACGCACTCGGGAAGCGTTAGCTGTGACTAGGGCGCAGTGCCCGGAGAGGAGGCGGGCCTCTGGCAGCGCACTCGACCTGTGTATGAGTAACAGAGACACAGGACAAAGCAGCAGCCGGCTGGCTGCAGCAAACCTCTCATGATGCAGAGGACACAAGCTGCCCCGAAAGCAGGGGAGAGGGAGGGCCTGTTAGCCACTGGGCTGGAGAAAGAGCACAGGGTGTCAGGGGAGAAACTGGCGGAGCGTAAGAACGGGGCTGCAATGTGACTGACAAAAGCCGCGGCAGTGGTTCCCAACTGTGCTTACCCTCCAGAATCACCTGCAGAGCCAGAGCCCTTTTAAAAGAAGTTCGGGTTCTGTTTCCGGAAATTCAGTAGTTCTGAGGTGAGGGCTAGTGCGTAGATTTATTTATTTATTTATTTTTTAAAGACTTTATTTATTTTTAGAAAGAAAGGGAGGGAGGCAGAAAGAGAGGGAGAGAAACATCAATGTGAGGTTGCCTCTTGCGCACCCCCTACTGGGGAACCTGACCTGCCACCCAGGCATGTGCCCTGACTGGGAATCGAACCAGCGACCGTTTGATTCCCAGACTGGTACTCAATCCACTCAATCATGCCAGCCAGAGCGTTTTTGTTTTTTTGTTTTTGTTTTTGTTTTTAATCTTCACCTGGTTCTGACACATAACCTGAGCAGAAAATTATGGCTGGGCTATCAGAAGACAGGCCTCAGCGCGACGAGGCCCTCCTGGGACGATGTCGGGGTGGGGGAAGGCGGGACGGGCCAACCCGCCGGCCATGCCTGACTCAGAGGGCTGGCTCTTCAACTCCGTCACTCACCCCTGCCTCCAGAGCCCCAGGCCCTGCCCTGTCCACAGTCCCACCTTGTTGTCAGTGAGCACAGGCCGGAGAGCAGAGTGAAAGGGCGGCAGCATGGGCAGCAATAGCATCAGGGCCTAACAGGAGTCAGGTCTGACGTCAGCCCAAACTCCCGTGCTTTTCCCCAACTTCTTAAGCCAGGAGTGACTCTCAATGACTCTATATAAGGGGAAAACCAGAAATGTGTAATTTTTTTTTCCCCCCAAATCATCTAATCCAACATCAAGCCCCACATTGATCAGTTTTTGGTATACATGTCAAGTTGGACATTTGACCTTCATAGTTATCCTGAGACAGGCTGCACCGGGCTGGCTGTACAGAAGAGGAGGCCATGTAATGCGATTTCTGTTCACAGGCCTCATTCCCAGCCCAGCCCTCCAGTAGGACTCCACCCTCCTTCACAGCCTTCCCGTGGTCTCCTTCAAGCCTCAGGCTCCTCTAACAATAGGGGGTGAGAAGGTGAAGACCACTTCACCTGTAAAATGATCTTTTCTCAAAGGACCTGCAGTCCTTTGGGGCGGCACGATGCTGTGAGAGAGGAATCCGGTTCAAATCCCACGCCAGCCAGCTGGGCCTGAGGTGAACGCACAGCTTTGCCGCACAGGGGCCAACACTGAGCAAATCCTTGATGCTCTGAGCTCCAGCTGCCTCCTCGGGAAGTCAACAGCAACCACGCTCGCGTTTGACGGGTGCTGATGAAGGATGAGAGCAGTTCCCTTTTCCAGCCCCTCCCATACTAAGGACAGACAAAGCAGGAGCGCCTGTCGGGGTGGCCTTGGGGGCAGCTCGTGGCAGAATCTACCACATGAACGTTTCCTTTTACTGTCTAGACTCTCCTTACACTTTGGGTACATGACTGTGGTTTTGGGTGGGCAACTGGGAACCCTTCATTTGTGGACAGTAGCTCTAGGACAACAGATTTGCCTGCTCCTGCCCAAGATTAAATGCGACCCTAGGAACATCCTGGAGAAGTCTACTAGTCCAGTGGGTTGGGGTTTTGGGGGGCTATGTTCATGTGCTTGGTTTTTCAATGATCCTTAAAGCGCCAAGTGACTTCTTCCGAAGGTCGGCCTGATACAACGGCATAAAACGAGACTGGATGACCAGGCGAAGTTTCCTCTGCCTCTCACAGCCTCTGCTGACTTCACACGCTTGAGACTGCGCTTCACTTCACAGCCTGGGACGCGCACGGTACCCTCTGTGTGTTTCAACATCAAAGAGAAATATGTCCAAGCATGACTTACCCACTGCTGGGGACAACTTGATTCAAAGGAGCCTCTTAGCTTCTTGCACTTCGAAGCGTCCTCCTCGTTCTCGTCCAAACACTTCCAGTACTCATCCCGGGCTCCCCAGCAGGCCTGCCTCTCCTTCATGGACGGGGCTGCCATCCCAGCGGGCTCGAGCTGCCGGCCAAAGCAACAACTGCCATGAACGAGGCGGCGCGGCCAGGCAAACGCGCGGTGGTTCCGCCAACGCCAGCTTTTCACAGTTATGCCTAGGACTTCGGCGGGGCAGCTGCAATTACTCAACCGACCTCCGCAGCACCGACAAGCCGGCGTCCGGGGCTCCCCGCGCGGTCTGACCCCGCCCACCGCGGCAGCGGGCTTGGGACCGAGTCCGAACCCGGGCTCTCGCTGTCACTGAGGGTCGCGCCCTTGTTCTCTCGAGCCATTTCCCCATCGGTAAAACGAGGGTAGCGGTGCCCTTTTTGCCAGGTGCTGTCTGAACCAATCTGCTCTCCATATTAGTGCACGGAGCAAAATGACCGAGGAGGGCGAGGCGTCTACCCGCCGCGCAGGCGAGGAACCGCAGCTCCGGACAGCCGGCGATCTCCCAGGTCCACCCCGCACGCGCCCGCCGGCCGGCCAACAGCGAACTTACCTCCCCCCCTGCCCAGAGCTGGTCCTCTTCGGCACTAACCGGAGGAAGGGGCCGCGGCGCCGAGTCCGGGCACCGCCGGAGGGTCGCCTCGCCCGGAGCCTGCGGCTCAAACCAGCAACTCGAGCGGCGTCCTCGCCGGCCTCACACGGAGCCTCACCGCCTGCCGTAGTCGGCCCGGGGGGGCGGGACTTCCGGCTCCTCTCTCGCACCTGTGGAGTGACTTCCGCCCCGCCGGGCGAGGGGGCGGTGCCTGGGGTCCGAGGGGGCGGGGCCCGCTGGCTCTCCGCCTCGGCGTCGGTCCCCGGCAGATTTTCAAACGCGTGACGAACTCCGCCCCTTTCCGAATCTACAGGTCTGTGTGTCTCGCCCCGCACCGGCCGAAGGCTGACGATGCGAGTCCTCCTCCCGGGGCGGCTCTTCCGGGGAGGCTTCCCGGGGAAGCTGCGCCTGAGGCGGGAGAACTGGACCAAACTCTTCAGAACCTCTTTTTTATCCCCACCTGAGGACACTTTTTTCATTGCTTTTTAGAGAGGGGGTGGGGGTGAGAAACACTGATGGGAGAGGATCGGTTGCCTCTCGCACACGCCCACGGGAGGGATCCAACCCGCAGCGGTTCCGCGACAGGGCGTGGCGCCGGGCCGCGGAGCCGCACCGGCCGGGCTCTCTTCGGAGCTCGTTGGGTGAAAAACGTGACTGAGTGGCGGGAGGCTCCGCGGGTTTCAGATAAGTTACGTGGACCTGTACGGAAGAATTTTTTTTTTTTATGAGTAGGGTGTCGAGAAGATTTTTTTTTTTTTTTAGCCATAAAGGAAAAGAAATTCAACTACATTAAAATTAAGTGGAAAAGACAAAACTGCATTGTAGAAGAAGTGCGCAAAACATATAATGAAGGAAGAATACCTACACGTCAGTAAGAAATAGAGCACCTAATTTTAAAAATAGGCAAAAGGCATAAAGAAGCACAGCACCAAGGGAGGACTCCAAGGAATCCCCGTACACACATGCGCATCGCTAACAGCACCCGCAGGGAGGAAGGTGAACGCGGCAACGCCATGTTGTTGGACACCCGCACGGACGGAGGCTGACGGACGGCCGGGACCGCAGTGACCCGTTAACAGGATGAAGGACAGTCCGGGGACGGTGCTGTGAACCGATGCGCTCGCCCTGGAAGACAGCGTGGTGTTATCTAGTAATCCTGCAGCCTCTCCCCTACCTGTGCATCTACAATACAACTCAAACTCACATCGACAATGGAAAGGAGTTGCGGTCTAGCCATCCTGTGAAATACGGCGCAGCAGTGAAAAGGAGCCAACTCCGGCCGTTTAGATGACATGATCAGTCTCAAGATTGCGTGACAGAGGCAAGTCAAGCAAAGAACAGAAGCCGTGTGTTCGCACTTACGACGGGTTCAAAAACTGGCAAAACTCACCTCTAAAGTTCAGGCTGTATGCACAAGGAGCAGAACTATTAAGAGAAATGGGATGTGGTCAGGAGGGGGTGCAGAGGGGTGTTCTGAGGGGCTGACAGTGTCCCATGTCTGGACTGGGGTGTGTGTTTATAATTATCCTTTAAGTGAGTCCTACAGGTGTGTCTTTTCTGTATGAATGATACACATCCCAATTTTTAAATAAAGACAATAGAGTAACTGGCCTGAGAAAGTTCACGTTTACTACACAGAGGTAAAAGTAATGGTTATACAGAACATGTATAATGCGATGACTAAATTTTTAATGGATTTAACATCTTATGTGCTCTTCCGGGTCAAAAGTCAGTGGTCTGCCATGCTAACTGCCACCTGTGCAGCTAAGCAGTCCCTCCTAGTCGGTGGTGAGCCGAAGGCACGAAGTGTTACCAATGAGGTTAAATGAACTGCAGTAATAGTGCCTGCCCTTGCCCCCAAGGGGTCCCACCCGTTAAGACACAGTCGTTCAGCCAACAGAGAAAAAACTAGGAAAGAGAAATGTTGAGGTGTTGATAAGGGGGGGGAAACAATGCAGGATTAGAAATGCAATGGCCAAATTCACCTTCTAAAATCTTGAAGACTGTGGGCAAGTAAAAGAAAGTGGGTGCCGTCAGATGGCACAAAGGGGGCGTAATCTCCCAGCCTTTGTCTGGAGACAGGGGGCGGCCAAGAGGAGTGAGGGTGCAGAGAGGGGAGCCAGGCTGTGCTGGCTGCTGTCGTTGCCCAGAGGAGGCTCCAGGTGGGTGTGCTCTGGCCTGAACTAAGCAGATCCCAAGCCGCTGGTGCACAGAGCCAGGCAGACCCGGCAGCACCAAACACGCGTGAGTTGTTTTTCTGTGGCTGCCCACAGACTTTTATTTATAATCAAACTGCTTTACAAAGCAGCTATCAGAGACACCTACTCAGGGACACAAACAGGAGAAAGATGTCTCTGATGCCAGTGCCACTGCAGAGATCCTTCTGGATTTCCTTAGATCTCTGAGCTCTGTCTTTTTCTCCCGTTACCTATAGGTATGCTCCACCATGTCCTTTTCTTCTTTGCGTCGTGTTTCTGGGTAAGCGGATTCACTCTCATAGCATCACTTCAATCAGAAAGACTTGCAAGTCTATGTTTTAGTCCTAAAAGAACCTTCAGGCCAGTTTTCTCTTTCCAAGTCCCTGGTGGGCCTCTCTGCTTGTTTGTCTTCCTGTTGCTCTGACAGGTTCAAAACTGGCCCCAGGATTCCCTCTCTGGAGCAGCTGCTCTTTCTAAGCTGTTCCTTTTCCTCTGTTCCACAAGTCCTTTGTCTGCCAGTTAGGAACCTTGGGAACTTGGGCCATGCTCCCCGCCCTACACTCACCCAGCCTATTTATTTCACAGATGAAAAGCGCCTGTGCAGTGCCAAGTGCTATGCTAGTCAGGGGGTGGGGGGGGCATTGTCTAAAGACATAAGGTCTTGGCCCTTGAGAGGCGTGGTCTAGTAGGGGACTTAGGCCATTACATCCTCTAATGATGAGCAATAAAAGCAATGATGGAAGCATGTACCAAGTACCGCGGGAGCCCAGAGAAACGAAGAAGGGGAGCATGGGCAATATTAGGGGCAGCAAAGTGTAGTGGGTGAGTGCGGGTTTGGAGCCAGACTGAGCTTGAGTCCTACCTCGCCCGGTGTCAAGCTGTGCGACCTTGGGCAGTTGCTGAACCTTTGTCTACATTGGTGGATGATAGCAATATCCACCTTGGGTTTCTTTTGGAAGTGAAATGAAATGAGGCCTGCAAAGTGCTTAGCACAGTGCCTAGCACACACAAAGATTTCATTCATTCAATAAATATTGAGAATTTACTATGTTCCCAACACTGCTTTAGGGGCTGGGAGACATCTGGGAACAAAACAGATGAAAGTTCCCACCCTTATGGGAATGTGCATTCAAGCACTAAACATAAAAAAGTAAATTCTCTAAGTGTTATAGGAAAAAGAAAAAGATAAATGTTAGTTATAGGATCACTATATTTAGAGGTCACTTGATCTTGGACATAAAGGGAGAGAAGTTTTAAAAAGAATAATACTATGTTTCATCAAATCTTTGATGTAGTGATCATATTTTGCACCATTATTTTATGTACCAATAAGAAAGGAAAAAGGCACTGACAATCCAAAGCTTTGTATTACCTAGGATTCTTACCTTAAACATATTAAACCTATTTAGACACATTTAGGCATGCATTTTAAAAATCGCATCACACTATACGCACAGAAGTAGGACAGTAAAAGCGGAAGTGAAGGTATCTCTAACACTTCTTTACATTTAGAGCCCAGTCCTCAGAATTCTTTTTGACTCAGTCCCGATGTCTGTGTTTTTCTACCAATCTGAGCATCGCTGCCATTAGATCCTTCAAGCAAATCCTTCTATTTTGCCTTCCCTGGTCTTCTCAACTCTGTGAAAAAGCTAAAAGCCATTGGTGCTGAGCAAGCAGCCCATTTTGTAATTGGATTCAAGGTGCCCCCTTCTCACTCCTGTTTGGGGATATTGACAAACACATGGGCGGGACCCTCTCTCTCCCCACTCCTGCCCTTAATGTCTGGGCTCCTAAAGGTTATGAGCACCCTCTCCTTGTCACCTGGATTTCCTTTTAGGCCACTGACAGTCACTCTGTGATTCTGGATGCTTGAGCTTTAATGTGTGTGCACACAAGGCAGGGACAGCAGCCTCCCTGGCAACTACTGGGTTGGACAAAAAGTCTATTTGTTTTGTTTTCCATAAAATAAAAGACACATTTTTAATTTTCCCCATAACTTTATTGATTTGGATATTTTGAGTATGTTGGCTATCTCCTGGGTGGTAGAACGTTGATTGTTCCCAATTAATGTCTCTATTTGATCGCTATCAACTTCAACTGGTCTACCTGACCGTGGAGCATCACTGTCCAGTGAGAAATCTCCAGCACAGAACTTCACAAACCACTTTTGACAGTTTCCATCAGTCACAGCACTGTCTCTGTACACTTCACAAATTTTTTGTGTGTCTCAGTTGTGTTTTTACCTTTCTTGAAACAATAAAGCATAATGTGCCAAAACTGTTGCATATTTTCTTCCATCTTTAATATTAACATGGCTACACAAAAATTCACTGATTTTGGTAAGTATTTTCTACATGCATGCCGATATGACAGCTGTCACAATACAATCTAACAAAATTGTTTTGAATGAAGTCCAAGACAAGACAACTAAGTGCTACTAGAGCCATTGTTCACTCTATAACCCCCTAATCATTTAAGGTCTGGCTCTTAAAGAACAGATCATTTAGAAACCCAACGGAAGGCCAAATATGGCAGCTAAAACATAGCCAAGTCAACATGGCCTCTTCCCTGAATCTCACACAACCTGGCATCTCCTATTCCCTATAACAGACTCGTTCAAGTCCGGGGTCTGCTGTCTACTAGCTACATGAGTTTAGGCAAGTCACTCACCTCTCTATACTTACTTGCTGTGAATCACAGCCTGTCTGCAAGGAAATCCATAACTGATGCTCTGCCTCCTTGTGAATCAGCTTATAAGGAGCAGTCATCAATGTAATGCTAGACAAGCTTTCAGGTAACAAGTGTTCCCTGAACTTCCCCGAATACGGAGCAGCGCATTCTTCTAAGAACTTTTCTCTGAAACAGAAAGCATATTCTGAAATAGACCCCTTGGCTTTCATTACACTCTTAGTCTCTGGTACTTGGAAGAAAGA